ATCACAGCTGAGAGAACCAAATACTAGCGTGACTGGTGTTGATAACACAGGTTAGTGTGATTTGTCAGGCAGTCATATGACATGTTACAGTATTTGGAGCATGATTAAAGCACCCTAAATCCCACATGCACTTGGATATGCCTATGCACATCACGGGGTCTAGGATGATCGGGGTGGGTTTATCAAGTATCTTCTCTTGCATTGAAAATTGGGGGACGTTTGGATGTTGACATTTCTAGTCCTTAATATATATTTTGCTAGATCTGTTTGGTGACATGGCATTGATCACGTACTTGTATTACAGGGCATAGTTCACTGTCAAATTCTGGACCTGATAACTACGAACATCAGGTAAGAAGCATCTCCTTCCACAAAGATACCTAGTCAATGAAGTTTAAATCAGGAAAACTTTCTTACTACGTGTCTTACTTCAAGACAGAATCACACCTTAGACAGCAGAGCCAGTGAGACTCCTTCAAACGAAGCAACAGAATCAAAAGTAGGCCTGTTTGCATAGTTTAGTTTTATTGGTGGACGTGCCAGATATTATCTGTTTCTTGTCTTGAGTAACAATTATGTGAATTGTCGATTGATTTTAGATGACTGTGGGAGACCTCATGGAAGCTTATGAAGACTGTGTTTCTAGTTTACGGAAGGCCCAAAGTCAACGGCGCACCTTTTCTTTGAAGAGAATATCTCCAGTGAAATTTTCAACAAAGGTAAGTTTATTAGTGTCAGAGGTGCATGGCATCATTTGGTGCACTTTTAACCATTCTGTCCGCATGAGTAGCTATTCCTGCTTGGTTCATTCTGAGAGGATTTAGACATCTAATAGTCACCTAGGATATGCATTTCTGGCATGGGCAGGCAGTTCTTGTATTTCAGGCTGGATGAAAATATATATTATCTGTACTTAGGTGAAATTTTCTATGGCCTGCTTCTGGCTTGTTGACTCGCAAATTGTAATGTGCCTCTTTCTAATGGCATTTGTATTTTCCAGGCACGCCTTCAGGTTTCTGATGAGGTTCTTCAGCAGATACGATTTCTTAATGACCTTGACTTAGAACTCTATGAATATGCAAGAGAGCTTTTCTCCAATCAACACAAAAATGTATTACAGAAATTCACTGAGGTACAATCTCTTCAGGGTTCGGATGTTTGAGTGCATTAGTCTCACAGTTGGATAATATGTGCATTGTGTGAAGTAGTTTTATCCCACGAGAAGGGTTCTATTGTTCGGTAGTAAATGCGTAATATGGAAAGAACAAACTCGTTAATTTGATTGAAGGCAGTATACTGCAAAATCTGGTGCACCTCATCTAATTGACTGCGTCATCATGGTTGCTTCTCCTTGTTCTCCCTTTATTTGCTTTATGAAGTTTGATATACTTCAGAATTTGTTTGAAATGAAGCAAGCGAAAGCTTCATATATATATATATATAGAGCGAAGTTCAATGAACACGGTTAGGGGTCACTACTAATGAATAATTAAAACTTCTTCCCATTTCCATTCAGGGTCTTCTGCGCAACATTTTAGACTAGAGCATCTGTAAACCAGAAAATAGGTTATTGAACTTGTCTTGTGAAAACTGAAAACCTGAGTCGGGGCAAGGAATGGTTCTCAAAGAATGCACTTTAAAAGATATCTAATGGGGATGAAAATAAGGAAGGCCTCAAGACTACTTAAATTGTAGGAGTAGTTTGCTGAAGCAAAATTAGCAGACATGCACATTCACAACGTGAAGGCATGATCTGGAATAACCGATGAATTTTGCATTTTTTATACAAAAATTCAATTGGGACAATGCAATGTGATGCCAAAACTATATTTGATGGTCTGCCGAAATATCACATCATTTCTATATCAGTCTCTAGTCGCCTCTAGTTGGGAGAAAAGAATTGAACTGTTTTTCGCTTTGATAAATAATACTTTAGAATGATTTTCCTCTTGGGAGACTCTATTAGTTAAAGTGGATCTTAACATGGTGGAGCTGTCGGTTATTTGATTCCTTTGTTGTATATTGCAGGAAAGATGGGAAAGCATGTCAAGCTTGGTGAACTGGAAGCTCCTTCCTTCGGTAATCCCTTTCGCCTTCCTCCTCTTGTTCTTTCTTATTGTAAATATGAGAAGAAGAATGTTGAAGGCTAAGATATAAATGTTATTCAATACTAAACATCAGAAAGTAAACATTGGGATACGGCTTGTCATTGTTATGTACCTTCGGGAGGTATGAGAGATCAGATATATCAAGTTTCACGTGCCAGATTGGTGAGGGCTCCAATGATTCAGTGCCACATAGCCTGAATGCAAATTTCATCTGTCTTTGGTGATATTCGCAGTTTACTTTTTCACTGTGACATTATAAAAACAATAGGCAAGATATATTTTTTTTAAAAAAAAGGTTTCATTTAAATGAAAACAGGCAATTCTCCACAATCTCTGATCGGATAGACTGCTTTTACGTGAGACCGACTAAAACCAGTTGAAAGAAGCAGTGTGAGGTGCATTGAACGACGAAGTCAAAGGTTATTAAATTCTTTTCTGGGAGAGATTTATCCTCAGAAACGAAATTTGTTCATGCATTGAAAAAGGGGAGCGAATGATTTGAGAGTTGATATGGGCGGAGGTCACCCAAGTGGCCAACTGCCCAACTTTCGCACAATGGACTCCTCACTTATCTCTTGGCGTATCACCAAACACGGTGGCCCCACCTTAAATTCCAATCCCTGAGAATTGTTAGGATGCGTTTGGTATACCCGAATGGGGAGTCGGGGGAGTGAGAAATCACCATACCTGTTTGGTAAGCTGGCTCTGACTCTCCTTTTTTTTTTTTTTTTTCCTTAACTTGTAATGGGATTTCAACGGAAGATGGAAAGAAAGAAATGGCCTTCCTGGTGAAGATGATGTTGAAAAGGAAAGGAATACATTATGAAACCTCACAAGTGTGGTGTGATTTATAAACTTAAAAGGGTTTTTCTTTTTAAGAAGCTAATTTTTTAGATTGGGCTTTTTCTTTGAACTTATATTCATCACAAAATGATTTTTAAAACTGTGCGGCCTTTCTACCTTGCTTTTCTCGTTTGGGGTCCAAAAGTTACAATCTACATTGCTTTTCTTTTCGGTATTTCTTGAACATTCTTTTCAAAAAACCAATGGAAGAGATTTTTTTTTTTTTTTGGATTATATCAGGGCAGGATTGAATCCGCAACACACGCATCCAACACACACCCACGCCACTCGGCCAAACGGCCAGTGGCAATGTAAGAGATTCTTTAAATATATTTATATAACAAACAGGGCATTGCCAAATCAATAATTCTCATTCATCCTGTGGGCACCGCCGGTGACGCCTCAATCATACATGTGTATGACACAAACATTCAAAATAAGTATTATTTGTTTTTCCTTTTTGCAGATCTATCTATTGGTCTTCAATAATTAATAATAATGTGCATAGATCCACATCTTATGCTCATTGCCTTCTCATTTGAACAGCCATCTTTATTTCTTCATTACATTTTTTAATGAGTTATATTTTAAAATTTATAAGTAACAAATATATGATTCATATCGATGGCCCCAAAAAAAAAATACAATTCATGTCAAGTTGTTATTACTATAGTGTATTATGCACATATGTAAATTCATCAATATTTATGTAACGTAAAAATTTAAAGGTAACTATTCATTATTCAAAGCATACGAATATTTTATCAACATATATAGAACGTAAAAATTATGAAAGGTTATGTTATTCCTAAATTATAAAAATGCGGCTTGTTTTTTAAACTCTATACATACAACATAGTTTTAATTTAGTAAAAATCATTATTGTTATTATAAAAAAATTATTTTTGGCCACAAAATAAGGACAAAAAAATTTATATTATTATTAGCCCTCTATGGAAAAATAATAATTATCTGTTATTATATAATTTTTGTGAAAAATTTTTATAGGTTATATTTGATACTAAATATAAAATTTCAATATATTTTGTTTATCATATTTATTGTTTTTTAAAACTATTTTACTTAACTTATAAATTAATATATAATATAATATTATTAAATATATATAATTTAGAGGGATTATGTCATATTTATTATAGTTAATTATTTATTTAAATCTCAAATTAATTGAATAGGTTATATATTAAGTATTAGAGTTATTGCCTTCTAACTCCGGGCAACATATGCATCCAAGTTACTGCCATGGATAAATGAAATTTCAATAATGAATGTTTCCAAAATATCCCGCTTAAAAACATCATATTCACTTTTGTCTTGGGTTTAAAACTTAAAAAGAACAGGGGAACATTTTCTGCGTCGTCTCTTGGAAATGAACGGTGGATATCGCAGAGACCAAGATGAGGGCTTCTGCATCGTAGCGGCACAAAATGCATTCCTAATTTTATCAAATTCAAACAAAGAAAAAAAAATCTTTTCTTTTTGACATTTTTTTTGCCTGAATTTTCTTTTTAACATTTAATCCTCACTCTATCCCCATCCTTCCCTGCGGCGAATGAGTTTTCTGTTGTTTCCTGTTAAGAACCTTTTCTGACTTTGCCGTGACCTCCTCTGCACACCTGGCAATGCGCTTCTCTACTGTCTTTCGCTGAAGATTCCGTTTCAGAGGTCTTGTTCAAAGTTCTACCATACCTCTCTCTCTCTCTCTCTCTTTTTAATTAGAGTATTTTCTTTCATGTTATTCTGTAGGTGCATTTGAGTTAATTTCTATGATAGTCTCGTTGTATTTTCACATTCTCTCTAGCTCTTTTGGTTACGCTGTATCCCTGGGAGTTCAGCTGCATGCAGTTCATTTTTCTCTTGTATATTTGTCGTAAATGGAGGAATGGGGAAAGAAATGAAAAGGGGGGTTTTACATTATTGGCTTGCGTTAACCTCTAATTGGGCATATATGGGATGAGAATGAATATTGAACCCCAGCTTCCAGCATCTACGGCCTATTACATTTGAAAATAATATAATTTTCTGAATATGGTTTTTAATCACTTCTGCTACATTTTCTCTGCAACTAAATGGTGTGCTGGGGATATGACATGTGGTACTGAAAAGGCAATTTTCTTTATGAGCTGCCCTTTGTTAGAGGGGGTAAGGATTGTGATGGTTGCTTTGCTTATGACATGACCTGTCAAATTGATGTTTTCCGTGAGTGGTATTGGGCTATTGGCATATGATACGAGCCTAGTTTGTTTCTAGTAATTCCTATCACCTAAATAACTTACTGATTGTAGGATACTCACGGTTGGAACTTGGAAGTCCTTTTTTTGGGTAAATCCTCACTCCAGAAGCATGAACTTGTGGATAAAATTTTACCTAGTCTCCATTGCTGTATATTGTAAAACCATGTTTCAAGCGTAAATCTCATTTTCACTAACTAATTACATGAGAATTCCAACCGTGTGAGATAGCGTTCCCTTGATTCTTTGCTACCTTTGTTGTTATGTGCCACCTAATTAGACTTTTAAACAAAGATGCGTTATTCTTCTTATCTCTTTCTTGAGTTTTTTCTACCAAATATGAGCATAAAGTAACAGCATCTGTCTTTGATCTTCTTTTCTGTATAATGATAATATTTTGAAACAGGGTACCAGTAACATGAAGGATTCTTGGTTTTTTGACAAGAGTTTTAATGGCTTGCCGGATGAAATTTTTGATGATGTCATCAAATTTTTTGACTTCCCGCTGGAAGATGTGGAACCTAATGCTATGGAAGAAGATTGGGATGCCCAATTCAAACGCCTTGACGAGCCATATTTAGATGTTCTCTCCGGGTTGCCCTCTGAGCTGCATGATAAAACTCGGAAAGGCAATCCAAAACTTGAGAGGCTCTCTACTTCTGTGAGTTTTCTCCCCTTCTTTTAGTGTTATTTTCTGGCATATTGTTCCTTGCCTTGCAGTTATGTTCAGATGAAGTCCTGTGTTTATTTGAATGCGGTGTGCTAGTGTTTGGTGACTTAATTACGTACAGACTTGTGTTATCTGAAACTGAAACGAGATGAATGTAGTGATGTAGCAATTTGAAGGACTCATTCAGTTTCAGGTAATGACAGTTCTTGTCATTGAATATCCACATCAATAGTTAGAACATTTGATTGGAATACTTTCATTTCTATATTGTGAATCTGAGAAAGATTAGAATGATTTTGTGTAGGAACTTTACCGCAAGCAGAGATGAATAGAGATTGTCAGAAAGACTTATTGGTAACCTATAGGTGGTTTTACTGACATAACATCCTATAACTCAACCCTTTGCTGAAGTGACCTCTTGGTAGCAGTCAGGGTAACTATTCATCAAAATCCTGCCTGCACAAGAAAATAGATTCACAGAGTGATGTTGGTGTAATTTAGGAAGGAAACATTGGGGAGATTCAAGTATTAGGGATTCAGTTTTCCTGTATTACTTACAGGGAGGATAATCAGGAAACCTTTTGTTGCAAGCTAGCTGTTTCTAACTGCGTTTTCAAGGGGTACCTTTACGCAAGTAAACGGTTGCTTGCTTTCATCTTAAACTGCCTCAGAATGTCCCGGAGAAGTTGTGACCCCCTGCCTCCAGCACTGATCCTTCATGTACCTAGAGTTGGAATTTATAGGTTTTGAACAAGAATAGGATGTAGAAACACGATGGTGATGTCTAACTACTGCTATCCTGGCTGCTGAAGCTACTTGTCCTGGCATATAGTATTTGTTGGTCAATGTTCTTAGGCGGGGGGAAAAATGGAATGAGAAAGAACTAGCTTTAGCATGTCTGCTTTTAGAACGCTAGCTTTCCTCTCTTGTGATTAGCTCTGGGGATATACGTGCAAATGTTGGAAGAATTTATACTAGGTTCCTCTTTAGCTCATCACTATTTTTTTTTTTTTTTCCTGGGTTACATCCATTGATTTCCAGATAAATTACTTTCTTATTTATGTTGCATTTGATCATTTTTCTTTTTGTTTTCTTGCGTATTTAATTATTTGGCATTGCAGCATTCTGAGATTTCGCCAATAGGAGGAGCGTCAGAGACTAGTAAAGTGACGTATGTCAAAAGCATTCCCAATCCAAAAGTCTCGTCCCACAGCAAGGATTTCCTCCAATTCCAAATCTACAGTCCAGTCTCTGTTTTTGAAAGCAGTAGTTCTTCATCAGGCGAGAATGCCTTTGATCAGCCTGTCATCCGAAAGCGAGCTCGCAGTAAACGCCGTCCTCTCTCAAGCCTCAGCCCTCTGTTCTCAGTTCCTTTCATCTCTTCTTCACAAGCTTTCCCAAAACCTCGAATGGCAGCTGCTGCTGAATCAGATTTTGAAACATTCCTTACTTGGAAACCATCGTACGGTCCAAAAGAGAAGCTGACAAAAAAGGATCTCTCTGTTCCCTCTTGTCATATTAATAGGAAGAGATCATCATTGCAGGAGTCAATCATCCCCAGAAAATGCACGCATTGTCAGGTTACAAAGACCCCCCAGTGGAGGGAGGGACCCATGGGCCCCAAAACCCTATGCAATGCGTGTGGGGTTCGATACCGGTCCGGCCGCCTCTACCCTGAATACCGGCCTGCCGCAAGTCCAACTTTTGTAGCATCATTGCACTCTAACTGTCACAAAAAGGTCTTAGAGTTGAGAAACAGAGCTACCAGTGAAGCCGATAAATGTTCTATATTGCCTTTGTCTTCAAAACCTTCATGAAATTTGCGAGGATAATGTTATATTAGGGACTATTTTCAGAGTTAACACGGTAGTCTCAAGACAGAATCCTCCACGTGTATTGTTTTCTCATTGTTCGTGTAATGTTATGTCGTTTAATTAGCATCATTTTTTTTTTATGAAAGTTTGTTGAACAAAAGGTAATAGCACCGTTTGGTTGCAGGCTTGGCCATGTAGAAACTAGGTTATCTCGAATCTAATATGCATGAAGGGATTAAGGGAATGAAGGCAACATAACACATAGCCTGCTTTACAAGATAATCTTTTTAAAATATGGTTCTAATATCAGCCGCGCGTGAATCTCTGCTAAATTTAATGCTCTTTCCTTTCCCTGGCTTTGAAATGAATTATAAAATTTTTCTTGGACATCTCCGTACTAAGGTTTTTGTCCAAATAAAAGAGCAACCTGGTAAAAAAATGATAAACAGTAAATAAGTGAGAATCAATAATTTGTTTTGGATATATTGTATTAATTGGCCAGTGTCGTATTGATATTTTAAAACTAGAAAATGCTATAATCTTTCGGTAATCAAGCATTTTTATATCCAGGTTTAATTTGAAGGAAAATTATATCTGTAAAGAGACCAGAGAATGCTAGCTGGGTAGCCCAAACTGAATTAGGGAACCCAGCCCATTGTTTGTTTGCTGCAAATATGTCTACATGAACACTTATTGTCTTTTGTTGGGTTAAAAAACAGAGGATTTTAATTTAAGATTGTTATTCTTAGTTAACAAAAAAAAACTATGTGTGAACATTTTAAATTTTAAAAAGTTTTAATAGAAAATTGTTATAATTTAAGGTTAATATAATCTTTAACTCCTTAAATTTGTTTTCATTTTCATTTTGGTTTCTTAAATTTCAAATCATAAGTTTTAATCCATTAAGGAGCAAAATAGTTCAAGTCTTTATTGATTTACAGGGGTCATGGTTTTAAATAACAGAAAACCTAAAGGATCAAAATCTATTATTTAAAAATTGAGGAACTAAAACTAAACAAGAACAAATTTAAGGGACCAAAAAAATTGTATTAACCCCATAATTTAAAATAATAATATTTCATTCTCTCTCTCCCCCTGCACTAACGTATGACATAATTGTAAAGCGGTAAAGCCTCGTCGGCATCTACGTGTTTTCTTTTTTTTTTGGGTCAAAGCCAGCATCTACGTGTTTAGACAGTAAAAATTGAAAAGAAAAAAAAACAATGAAATTGAAATGAAAATGAGGGACTTTCGTCCGCTTAAAAATAAATAAATAAATCAATGAATGAATGCATAAAGTGTCCGATAGATCATGTAGTTGAAAATAAAAGAGCATCATAATATGGTCTCTTATTGTATTATTGTTATCAGTATGAAACGTCATACACAGGCTGGTGGACCCATGCGACCATTAAACTAATTGATGCTCCTTTTCTTTTTAATATTGAAATTAAAAAGAAAAATAAAATGAATAATGAAAAGGAAAATGGATGGGAAAAAAAGGTCACTACAGAGAAGATAACGGCGTTTTGGCCTCGTATGATTTTAAAGTTGTTGTGCAGGCTTATTGAACTAAACTAAAATTTTTGATGTCTTAAGTCTAAAATACCCTATATACTGAGATATTGATAATAAGGTATCTGCATTTTGATAACTAAACTTTCTTTCATTATCATTTACTCAAAATTCGCGTATAAGTTGTAAATCAGCATCGTGTGTTGGCATCAGGGTTATTTTGGTCCTTTTATATTGAGATATATTTTCACCCGAGTTCTACGGCATGGAAAACATTTTCGGATTTTTTTTTTCAGCAAAACATTTTCGGAATTTTATGATCTCAAAGTGCTGTTATCTTTCTTGTGTGTGCGCGCTGGCCTAATGACGTTCTCCCGGAAAAATGTAAAAGAAAATATAACAAAAAGTTTATTGCATGAAAAGAAAAAGGAAGATATTTTTATTTATTTCCAGTTATTATTGTACTCTATAATAACAGTGGCATGTTCTTGCTGCCGACTGTATCGCTTATTGGCTTTTCTAAACAAAATCAGAATCCCGACAAGCGCACGGGATAAATAAAATCGAGTGGAATCAAATTGGAGGAAATTATATGAACAGGTAAAAAAAGGATGAGAAATTTACAACTTAAAAGGAATAAAAGAACAAAAAAAAAACTAATAGAAAGTTCAAAATAAAAACAAAGTGTAGATTTTTTTTTTTTTAAAAAAAAGAATAATTATTTGAATGATTCCCTACCGATGAAAAGAATTAGAGGAAAAGGGGAGGAGAGAAAAATATTGAACATGATTGTTTAGTAGTATAATGAAAGCTGATTGGTGCATATAATGAAGATTTGGGACACGTGGGGCTTGCATCCCCCCTTTCCTTCCCGATTAATTCGTTCCTCACTCCCAACATTGTCGCCTCCTACAATGGAATGGAATGGAAGTAAATATACGGGAATACCCTCAAACAAAAGAATGAGGTTGCTTTACTGCGTCCTGCTGCTGCTGCTGCTCCTCTTTTGGCGACACGGGCGGATTTCGCAGTGTTAGAAGTTAGAAGTTAGAATCAAAGCCAAGGTGGCAAAATCAGGAATGCAAAATAAATAAATAAAATCCGGAAATCAGAGGCAGCGATCGCAGGGGCCGTCGGAGTGGGATTGAAAGGCAGAGAGCAATCCCACGACGACAGAGATTCCTCAGTAAAACACCATCTCTAGCTGTGGGTCCCCTCCTTTTTGCTATCGCTCTGATGTTGACACGTGCCCTACCCAACCAACGCCCTCCCTCCCTCTCCCTGTCTCTAGCTGTCATTCTTCCTCTACCTCTGCCTGTACAAACAAAATTACTACCTCCCTAGTTTTAGCCGGAGAAGGGGCAGCGAAGCGCGATGAAGCGTGGTTGTCGGGCGGGGAAAGCGACGGCGTTTTCAGATTGATTTTTTTTTTTTTTTTGGTTGTCGGGTGGGGGAAGACGATATGTCAATTCTCAGATATAGAGAGGGGCCACCAACACCCCTCCTCGGTTCTTTCTGTGATGTACATGCCTCACGAAACAAATTAGGGCGTGATCCCTGAAATTATTCATGTTGGTAATTCAGTCATTTAATTTTAATCGAGTGTACGCGAGTGAAGACCACGCCATTAATTTGCCAGCAGAGGCGGGACCCCAATTTGGGACCTCTCTTTCTTTAACTCCCGAGTCCCATCTCCTTTCTCCTTCCCCCCTCTCTTATTCTGTCGCCTCCCTTCCCCTGCCCTTTTTCTTGTCAGAGTGCAAACCTGCTTTCAAATTATAAAACAAAATTGCTCATCACCATACAGCAGACATACCTCCCGCCTCCCTTGTCCATCGTTCTCACATCATAATATTCAGATCCACCCCCTTTGCAGTTAAACGTATGATTCTCCTCCTTAGTCACCATGGACTGCTCTTGCCATAACTTGAATGATTTTCAAAACTATATTATTTTTGTGCCGGCTGTGTCTAATTTACAACTTCACACCTTTTTAAGGCGATATATGAATGCTAATTTCCACTGACATACCAAAATCATATGTATAATATATCACAATTAAAATAATACATGTTGTCAATTAATACCCAGTATAGATATTTGTATAATAAAAAGCTGACGAGTACGAGGTGGGAAAGCCCGATAGACAGACCCGAGTAATAGTGATGGGTGATCCGTATTTTGTGAGGAGTTATAGGACTAGTATTACTATGACATCATACTAGCGTATATTAAAGCAGAAGAGGCGTGTGATAACTAAAATATTATGAGGATGAGGTGATGCAGTTTTGAAAACAAATGAACAGCGCACGAGACGACGACGACGGAGACATTGACATTTTGTGATTTCATCTTCGCCTCTTAATTGTCTCGACGTTCTGTGTCGGTATCAATGTTGATTCTCCCCGAACCAATCCCTATTCTTTTTTCCAAACCACATCTTTTTGCCCCCATTAATTTTATCATATACCGCCACCAACTACTCTCTCTCTCTCTATATAGATATAGGACCCTCTCTCTCTCCCTCTCTCGTCCTTGTTTTGTTCTTCCATACCCATAAATATTCTCATTAATAATTCCTCTGTATTATTGATTTATATGTACATACTTCTCTACGTTGACGTTATCAGTTGGTATACCGACGTTGTCCCTTTACCAAAAAACAACATGCGCTTCCCCCGTTTTTGCCTTGCTGTTAAAAGTTCAGCCATACCTACTGCTCAGTTTCTCTTCCCTGTGTTTTGCAGCCTCATCTTGAATTTTTCTTCACACACACACACATATATATCTGCTCTTCATGCATGATATATACTCAGAATATTCAGATTGATAAGATAATTTAGCGCAGGCGTGTGACAGCTTTATGAATTTATGCTTAGATAGTGAAAATGGGAGAGGGTGGTTTGGCATTCATTTAAGCTGGGGGGAGGGTCAAGATTTATGAATATTCACTAAGAATAGTATTATATATGCCTTATTTATGTGTGTTGCAGGCTTGCGGATAAATCCAGCATCGTACTTGCTGGTGTTTTCCTTTTTGGTCGCTGCCCTTTGTCATCTTGCCTGTGCATACAGACCAAGGATTCTGCTTTCAACTCCAGTTTTATAATACATTGATGACGGCCTGCCACAACCAACCAAACACGCCCCTTTACCTTTCCTTCGCTTGCCGCCAAAATATAAAGCTTCTCGTTTTGGCCCCTTGTGAAATAAACATACTGATAGTTGTTTTTATGCAGCCCGTTCCATTCCATATATATAATCCCGTTTAGTGTTGAATAATGATTTATTAAATGATGTGTATAGTTAGGGATAGAAGGTATGAGAGACAATAAAAGAGGGATCTGTATGGTTATGAACAGAGAGAGAGAGAGATGTAATTAAAGCGGGGTTGTTATATAAATGTGGGATTGGGTAAGGAGAGTGGGCCCAAAAAAGAAAAGAAAAGAAAAGAAGAGGGTATTGGAAGGGGAGGGGGCAGCAAAACGGTGAGGGAAGTAAATGAAGTGCCGTCTTGTGAGCACAACACATAACAGGAGGAATACAAGTGTACGCACGTCGTCGTCGTAGGCTGTGGTTATGCTCCGTTTGTTTTGTTGCTATCCCTGTCGTTTACTATTTCACATGCATGCTTGCTCTTCCCCCTTTTCCTTTTTATTCACACACGCAAACCCACGTCATCAGCTTCAGTTTCTTTTTCATCATACGTCCTGTCAACCTCTCTCCCTCCACATACGCTTCGCAATACAAAACCCAATTGTATATCCAAAATGAATATTTCTGTTTGAAAATTACAGAGATTCGAGGCCTTGATCGGCATGCTTTGGGTCCCCATTAGTACCCATTTCAAAGGGTTTGGGTGTTAAAACTAATCAACTTCGTTGGGTTTAGATGTTCCATGCGTCACTGTTGGGGTGTGTCCTGGGCTGATTTTAGTGTCACTGCTTAACTCTCATCTCTTAAGTGCTGTTAATCAGAACCGGAGGTAGTAACTTCTTTGAATGCATGGATAAATCATGTAACAAAAGTTCAAGACATTCAGGGAAGCAGAATACGAGCAATAACTGAACTTCAAAGTCGCTTCAAGCGTGGATTCATATGGTTGTGTAAAAATTTAATTAAAAAAAGAAAGAAGGTAAACGGTAAAAATCCCTCGCTTTCATTTCACCACAGATATTTTGGCTTACACGCAGGTTATTCCTTGCAGTAACTGAGAAAACGGATCTTTTTAGCCAAGATTCCGCATATTTAGCCTTTTGTTTAATATTTTCTTTATTGTGATAGAAGTGTGACAACAGACTGACTCAACCTCCCCTCGCCTCCTTTCTCGCCTCTTCCGACCAAAAAATCGTGGGCCCTCACTTCTCCTCTCCCACTTCCCAATGCCTTCGACGGCGCGTGCATCGCACCGCCAGCCAGCTGAGAGAAAGTAAAATGAAGTTCCCATTTTCCTCTGGCCACTTAATTACCCTGGTCCCATGGTTAGGTCCATCTTATGCGATACGTGATTATACAATGAATTATTATGTTCACTCATTGCATGACATATATATTTTTTTCCTTACTTTTTTATAATTTCCGAACCGATGCCAGTTGAGTTGATCTCACCTGTGCTGGCTGGGCCAGAGTTTCCATGTTCCAAGTTGAAAATATTCTCGCCATATTTTCTGACGTTATACCGTGACTCGATGTTTTATTACTATCTTTGTCACGAGCCACCAAATTAATTTAACTAAAGTAATATTAATTCCAATGTAAGCAGTTTATTACTGTTTTCTTAAGTTCCGGCGAGTGGGTGTTGATGTGTGTGACTGTGTGGGGAGAGAAAAATAATGCTCTTTTTGAGATCTGAAAGAGAACAAAATATAAACAAGGAACAGAACAAAACCAGGCCAGAAAGGTGAGGTCTTTTTATGTGACCATGGAGCTTGTTACCTCAGGAGAGATTCTTTTGTAGGAGTAGGTCGTGCTGCTGCTGCTGCCAAAGAATCGTACTACGAGAACTCACAGATTCTGGAAAAGCCTCCTATCATCAAACCGGTTACCAGTAGAAGAAAGAGAGACACCTATTCTGAATCTGGTTTCGTCATGAAAAGTGTGTTTTCCTCCTGTCCTTCGTCTTAGCGAGTCTAAAGCTGCTGATTTGGGCTGTGGGTTCTTCAATTCTGCGTGAACGGGGTGCTTGGGACCAAAGTTTCTGAAGCAGTGAGTGACGGGATTGGAAGCCGGGAATTCCATAGTTCTTCGCTTTCAAACAGTGAACACTAAGATTTGATTGAACAGTGCGAGCAATTACTCGGCTCATTTTCGTCCTCTTCGTTTTGAGAAAGGCAAAACATCTCTCCCTTCTCTCTCCTTGTTTCTATTCCGGTTTTAACAATTCCTGCTTCCCTGACACTGTTTGATTACCGCGAAATAGTCTCCTTCGCAAACAATGAAGGAAGAAGCTGAGAAAAGCTTGGATCCACAACTATGGCACGCGTGCGCCGGAGGTATGGTTCAGATGCCAGCTCTGAACTCCAAAGTCTTCTACTTTCCTCAAGGCCACGCCGAGCACGCCCAGGCCGGCGTCGATTTTGCGGCCTCCTTGAGGATTCCACCACTCATTCCCTGCCGCGTGGTGGCCGTGAAATTCCTCGCAGACCCAGAAACCGACGAGGTCTTTGCCAAGATCAAGTTGACTCCTTTGAGAAACTCCGAGCTTGATGACGGCGACGGCGACGAAAATACTCACGGCTCTGAAAATTCGGAGAAGCCCGCGTCTTTTGCCAAGACCTTAACCCAGTCCGATGCTAACAATGGTGGAGGCTTCTCTGTCCCGAGATACTGCGCAGAGACCATATTCCCACGGCTCGATTACTCGGCGGAGCCCCCGGTCCAAACCGTGATTGCGAAGGACGTCCACGGGGAAATTTGGAAGTTCAGGCATATCTACAGAGGGACACCCCGTCGTCACTTGTTGACAACAGGGTGGAGTACTTTCGTCAACCAGAAGAAACTCGTAGCAGGGGACTCTGTCGTGTTCCTGAGGGCCGAAAATGGCGATCTCTGTGTGGGGATTCGCCGTGCAAAGCGTGGGATCGGCGTTGGATCCGACGGCATCTCCGGTTGGAGCTCTGGTGCGGGGAACTGTGTGGGACCTTATGGGGCTCTCAGTGTGCTGTTAAGAGAGGAGAACAAGCTTATACGAAATAATTCGAATGGTGGGAATTCAAATCCTGGGAGAGGAAGAGTGAGACCAGAATCTGTGATGGAAGCCGTGACACTTGCTGCGAGTGGTCAGGCATTCGAGGTTGTTTATTACCCGCGAGCAAGTACTCCTGAGTTCTGTGTTAAGGCTGAGGCTGTCAAGGCAGCCATGAGAATTCAATGGTGTTCTGGGATGAGGTTCAAGATGGCCTTCGAGACTGAGGATTCTTCCAGGATTAGCTGGTTCATGGGCACTGTTGCTTCTGTTCAAGTTGTTGATGCTATTCGCTGGCCCAATTCTCCTTGGAGACTTCTTCAGGTATTATTAGCATTGTATTCTATTGCCTACAATTTCCTTGTATTTTTCTCTTATCTTGTCCGATTTAGTTCGTGGATGTTATTGAAAATTAATGTTCCCATTCTGCTTATGGATGTGATACGAGGAATGAAATACCAGACACTGATGCTTTTCTACGAAATCCAACTTAAGGCTCTCAACATTCTGGTTTAGTAAATCCCCTGAATTTTTTCAAATAATTCACATGCGGTGGTTTATAGGTTAATCTTTGGATCTTACTGTTAGTTTTGCATTTGGCGTAGTTCCTCAGGCATTTGAAACTAATGAAATATCACGCATGGAGGATTAATTTTCAGTGACCAAGCGAGGATTAATTGTACCTAAGATTTTTTTTTTCCCCCTTTCTGCACTTCCTTTCTAAAGGCCAACGCCACAGGTTTATGTAATTTGTTTTTTTTTTTCCCTATTCATCTTCTTGTTTTTACAACAGGTTACTTGGGACGAGCCAGATTTGTTACAGAATGTGAAGAGGGTTAGTCCATGGTTGGTTGAACTGGTATCGAACAGACCGGTCATCCCTCTCATGCCGTTCTCTCCTCCTCGGAAGAAGATGCGGCTTCCTCAACACCCAGACTTCCCCTTTGAGGGTCACTTCACGATTCCGACGTTTCCCGGCGGCAACCCCCTCGGGCCCAGCAGCCCCTTGTGTTGTCTTTCCGATAATGCTCCTGCAGGCATACAGGGAGCCAGGCATGCTCAATTCGGAATATCTCTTTCAGATCTCCACCTAAGCAATAAATTGCAGTTGGGGCTGCTTTCAAATAACATCCAGCAGCTTGATGTGCATCACCCTGGGATTTCTAATGGCCATATAATGATGAGCCATGACAAGAAAAATGAGAGCTTGTCATGCTTGCTTACCATGGGAAATTCTAACAAGAGTTTGGAGAAATCTGATAATGCGAAGAGACACCAGTTTCTGCTTTTTGGACAGCCAATACTGACTGAGCAACAAATTTCTCAGAGCTGTCATGCTGAAGTGTGGTCTCAGAACTTTTCGCGCAAGAATTTGCCAGACGAATGTAAGGATAAAGCAAAGAGCTTCTTGGGTGGATCCCAATCCGGGGTTTCGCAGCCAGGATTATCTTCTACGACCGACTTCTCTTGGCAACTTGGCTTGGATACGGGTCATTGCAAGGTTTTCATGGAGTCAGAAGACGTGGGGCGCACTCTAGACCTTTCATCTCTCAGCTCTTATGAAGAGCTGTACCGGAAACTGGCCGACATGTTCGGGCTCGAAAGATCTGAGATGTTGAGCCGTGTGCTCTACCGAGATGCTTCTGGTGCTGTCAAACGAACTGGAGAAGAACCCTTCAGGTACCCATTATTGTTGTACTTATTTTCCCGATCATTGTTTGATTTTCACACAGTTCACTTAAATCCGCAACTTGCATGAAGACTTCGCGCCCACGCATATCTTGGCCCCGTATTGACATCGATTCTGTTTCCCCGTGATTATTTTGCAGTGACTTCATGAAAACTGCCAAAAGATTGACAATTTTGACAGATTCGGGGAGCAAAGATATAAGGAGGTAAAGGAGAAATTATCTTATTTTGCTGGTCCAACCAAAACAATAAGTAAATTAAGGCGATTTTAAAGAAAATTTCGAGTATTTCAGGGGTGTTTCTGGCATCCTCACATTTCGGTGTGGCTTGTTGGGGTCAAGGCTATATGGTTTCTGATCTAGATATCTCTCTGACTGATGAGAAAGTAGCAGCAGAATTGGAGGATTAAAACTTGTTTCTTGGGAGGGGGTGTTATAGGAAATTGGTTCCTTTGATTGATGCTAACAAAACGTGGTTTTGCAGGGCGTGGATGACAGGATCTCGAAATGGAGATCATGGACTGGACGCATCAAACAAGACAGGCTTTCTGAGCATATTTGCCTAAAATATGACGTGGCGTGTCCCAAGTTCGCACATTTGACTCCTAAGTTGTGTATTAGAATGTTTGCTTTCTTCATCATATGAACTAAAAGCTATTGTCAACCACGGCATCTCTTTAAGTGTAATCTGTGTCAATAATGATGCCTCTATTCGGCTAAACTGTTTGTTGTAATATTAACCCAAGCCTACCTTTTCTTTTACCTGAACCTGGCTGTGTGTATCGTCAAAGAGCTACCAGTTCCTGTAATATATTGACTTGGGTTTTGAAGGTTGAGACAGATATTAATGTTAAATTGTTGTTCGAGTCCTTGTTTTCAAATATCCAATACGAGATTGCCGTTCTCAAAATGGCTGTCACATTTTGCGGATCAAGAAATGAGAATTCCATGAAGCGATCATTTGTGAGAAGAAACAAAGCTCAGAACAAAAAAGAAATCCTTCAGAAGAAAAAAGAGGGAGGGGGGAGAATCTTTTCACACGAAGGCAGATAAAACGTCTTCGTCAAGGCTTTCTTATTTGCTAACAAAGGTTTTAAATAAACTCTCAAAAGTCGCTTTCAGTTCATTGAAAAGGGTTCGAACCCGTGGCTTTCAAAATTAAATTGGCAACCTCATCATGTTTTCTCACGAGTAGGAAGAAAAATAAATGTCGAAGTATTATCAGTATCGGTAATTAAAAATGACTATTTGCAAAATTAATCAAATTATAATAAATAAAAAAATGCACATCTGGCTTACACGTGAGCGCTTTGAAACATTGTCGTCTTTGGTTTGGGAAAGACTATGAGTTGGACAATGAAGAAGAGAAACTGAAACGTAAAAGCAAGAGTTTGTCTGTTGTAAGTAAAACTAGGGTAGGATTTGAAACTAGGAACAAGCTAGTCGTCTCCATTCATGGTAAAACATGACAATCAAAGCCAGCTACCTAACCCAACATGGCAGCATTATATGGAGGAACAGTTTGACTTTTGTCGTCGGAGAAAAGAGGGCGGATACAAACATACAAATATACAATACAATGCACGCTCTGGGGCTTAAAAAGCCGGGCTCAAAAGTAGTACCTAAAAGAATCGCTGTCCTTGTTGGTTTCTCTGAAAATGGTAGTGTTGGAAAAAATTGAAACCCGACAACATTTTCAATGCACAGTAAGGAGTGGGTGCCATCCCTATCACCTCGTCACTGATTCACAGTCATCATTATCTGCGCGACTAAATATTCTCCCAAATCCCACTTCTGAAAACCAGGCCACGTCATTGAACCTAGTCTGGCACCAATAGCTAATCACACGAGAAACCCCATTATTATTAATATGTTAAGAGTGATAGGAGGGTGGTTTCAGGAATCAGAAATGAATCAGGGGTTGGGATCCGAGAAGGCAGAAAACATGAAAGAACGGATTTTTTTTAAGCGATTGATGGCTGTGTTGGGCAGTTTTTGACGAGGATTGTGGGTTTGGTCTGTAAACGGGAGTTGTGGATAGAGAGACAGACAGCTGCATGGCTCTCTCACAGGTCACAATCCCAACAAAACCACCTCAATATCAGTGTAGTTTGTTCACTCCTAAGCTATGCCCACACGTGGGCGTGGGACCTTACCCCCTTGATCCTTTTCAATTCAAACCAGAACGTACCATTTGTTTAATGGGGGAGAGATAAATAAACCTGCGTTGTGTTTACAAATTACTACGAGTATGCTAGTACTGGCTAGCAGAACCTGTATATTTTTGTCTTCATAAGTAGTTTTGGTAATAAACAAATGACAAGTTCACGTGCACAAGAGCAAATGTGTCGCCGGTTAGATGGGCGTGCCTTTTGGGCAGTGATAATGATAATGGCCGTTTTGGGGATTTGATTCAGCTTTGCCTCTTGCTTATAGCTTACGCCTTTTACTCAACTCCAAAACTCCTTCCTCAGCTGATCAATCTTATTCATCTCCTTCTTCAGGCTTTTTTTGGCCCCTCATATGGTAACACTGAATGGCTTTTAACCTCTCGGGCTGCGGTAACATATGGGGATGAAAATAATATAGCATTTTAAACTAATGGCCATATATGATGGTACACAATAAAGCAAGACTCTACCGTAGAATTTGTGCTCCAAGGGGGGGGGGGGAAAACAGAGGAAGAAGAACAAGGGAAGAGTCAAATGGTCAAAGGAGGAGGCATTGGAAGTGGGAAAGAGAGAACAGGTTCCAAGGGGTTGAATTCTATGTTTTCAGTTCCAAAGCCCTATTGTCCGGAGTTGCCTTCCTTTGCATTGAGATAGTGAGGCATCTTCCCATTTTAATTTCAGTGTCATCCATTGGTTGTCCCAAAATATTACTATTCTCCACTTGGGAATATCATGTACTCCCACGCTTGGAGTTGCACGGAAGTACAATATTTATTTATTTTCTTCACATAATAATAATGAATGCATAATTACTCCCTCTCTTCGTATTCTATCTATTACTCTATTTTGAAGTTTAGCATAAAGATTGAGAACACGTTACATTTTTTTTAAAAAATTAATATGCTCTTAATTTGTTTTAGGGAGTGTTTGTGCAGAAACCAAACTAAATAATAGGATAAATGAAAATAAAAATTAACTCCAAAAATTAAAGTTAAGAAGGAAGGAAGAAACGTAATGATTAAAATTTACTTTAATTCTCATTCGTAAAAGTATAATTTTAAAAATCAAAGGGCCATTTGCATTTTTGGTTTTGGAGGGGCGTTTTGTGACCTGCACAGCTGCACTAACCATTGGGCTGCTCTTTTCTTTTCCCCTTTTTTTTGTCTTCGTGGGGAAATCACCAAATGTTTGAAATAAGAGGGAGTTTACGGGGCAAGCGACAGAGATGGGGTGAGATTGGCCTCCAGGCTCTAGGCCTATTGCCCTACCATTAACTCGTGCGGTGGACCCCACACAGGCTTTACTTGCAGGGAAGAAACAGCTAGCCGAACACAACACAAGCACGTGAAAATTAATAAGGAAAAAAATATCTATAAATAAAAAGTTAAGTCCAGAAAAAGCTGTAAAGAATTCATTCTAGGGAAAATTTCACTGTAGAACCGCAGAAGACAATTAATTTCAAAGAGCTCCCAAAACTTTCTGAAATTTCACTGCAGGACCAAGAGGCAAATTGATATTAATTCCACAAAGAAAATGACCCTATTGCCCCTTATGTGAACAAGTATGGAAGAACCCATTTGCAAGTGAGGTTAGATAATTTACAACATGCATAGATATATTTACAATTAAAATTAGTCCATTTACATATTACCTTCTTCACTTGAAGAATGTGTCTGGGTGAACAAGTGTGGGACAGCCCATTTGCAAGTGGGACTAGACAATTTGCAACATATATATTTATTTACAACTGGAATTAGTCCATTTACATGTCACTTCCTTCACCTGAAAAAGGTCTCCGTGAGTGAACAAGTGTGGGAGCGCCCATTTGCAAGTGGAATTAGTCAATTTGCAACATACATACATTTATTTATAATTAGAATTAGTCCATTTACATATCACCTCATTCACCTGAAAAAGGTGCCTGTAAGTGAATAAGTGTGAGAGAGCCCATTTGCAAGTGAGACTAGTCAATTTGCAACATACATACCTTTATTTACAACTGAAATTAGTCCATTTACATGTCACCCTGCAATAAGTATTATGAGAGGCAATAGCGTCATTTTCTTTGTGGAATTAATATCAGTTTGCCCCCTTGGTCCTGCAGTGAAGTTTCAGAAAGTTTTGGGGCTCTTTGAAATTAATTGTCTTCTGCGGTCCTACAGTGAAATTTTTCATTCTATCCTCCCCGTCACCACAATATATTACTGCCTCTGTTTTTTATTACAAAGACATTTGATATTTATAACATATTCTTATATATAAGATATATTTAAAAGTTGTCTTTACTTTTTTATATTAATTTTCTATTTTACCCATATTTATTGTCTCTAACTCACACTCTCTCTCCTTTTCACTTCTCTTTCTTTTAATAATTTACCATTGTTCTTTCTCATGCTCTTTCTCCTTATTAATGAAGGCATTTTTAGAAAAAAAAATTATATTTTTTACATTAATTGTTCTTAAGAAATGGGAAGGTGTCAAGATTTGCCTATTAAAAGGAAAGGAGTAGATTCAAACAATATTCAGCATCTTTAACAAAGGCTCAAAACTCACCCTAATTTTCAACAAGCCCTTTCGTTAGCTTCATCATCTTTTTTTCACTAATCATCAGGGTCGCTTTTCACACGTCATCAGCATCATTTTTTCACATAAAGATATCCAATCATCTAAGTTTAAATTATTTGCAAACAAATCTATCATCTTGTATTCAATTAGTGAGATAATAGACAAAATAAAGACAATAGATCAGTTATCCATATAAATTTAAAAATCTACAAGTTTGCTCTTACATTTCAAAAATCAAACAGGACTTGAACGTTTGATGGAGATGCCTAATTTAACTAATAAAAGAAAAGCGACGAGAGAATTAACATGACAGCAGTTTAGTTTTGTCATAAAATGGTTTCCCTCTCTTAGAACCAAGAAGGAACTTTCTTCTCCCTCCCTGCTTCTTCTTTTTCTTTTTTGGCCTGAAAGATGGCACTTTCTAATTATCACCATCTGTTTCAATAAATGAATATTACTTGATGCTAATATCATAACTGTTGCTTGGATTGACATTACTACCACCGTGTTTTGAGTGGTGTTGTTGTCGTCGTCGTCATTGTTATTAATATTCATATTATTATTATTATCATCATCATCTACTTTAGTGAATATTGATGAATAAAGCAGCCACGATGATTTGGCGCCATTGTCCTTGATGTCATGATTGTCGTGAATAATAACAAGAATGCTTTATGCATCATAATATATAATAAATGCTTCATTTGAAGAAAATGATGGCCACATTATATAATGGATTGTGAGAGGACATAAAGTGCTATTACCAAATCTGGGCACCCTAATCCCCTGCCGGAATTCTACCTCGCAGCCCTACGATAGCCATCCAATCAAGCAGTGCAAAAGATAGCATAAAAGCTAAAAGCATTTGAATCAGGCAAAAGAAGAAATTCAAAAGTTAATAAAAGCTTACATTATAGCGCAGACACAGATTTAACAGGTATTCTGCAGATTATAATTCGCAATGATCACATATATACTCTGATGGAAATTAATGGAAATTAAGAGGGACAGTATTAGTCAAATGCATCGTTATGGGTCGGAAGAACTATGATTGCCTGATTGGAACCCAAACCGTCAAAGCTACGCATATTTGCAACTTTGAATTTCAGGGACCTGGAATTTTGAATCTTGACGAGGATTTTTCCCTTTATAACAATGTTTTTCATGACGGTTCCGCGTGCTTTTACGTAAATGAAAACCGGACAGCCATCGAAATTCCACTCCCCAGTAGTCCAACAAGTAAAAAGCCATCAGGCGAACTGACCAATAGCCAAATCAAATACGCCTTGTGATTAATAATTTTTCGTTTTAAGGTAGGCATATTTCAAATGACGCCATATTCTGAAACCATACTGGAACATCAACAGCAAAATTAAAGATATCATGTGCAATCAATGAAGCACATGAAATTTCAGCATTGCCACAGCATGACGGGATCCAGAGTCATCAACATGCATACATGCATAGTCAGAGGAATTATCTCCGATCGTGAGAGAAATAAAGTACTCCTCCGGTCCTAAATATAGGACCCTTATACACACTAGTATAAAGGTCTTATATTTAGGACCGGAGGAGTATTTATTTCAAAATTGAGCGCCTCAAACGTATTATTACGTGGAGGATACACATCAACCTTAACTATAGGGAAGTATAAGCACAGTTATATCCTCTTATGCGTGCTCAGATTACGTGGTACCTGCCAACACAAAACAAAATTACAATGATAAATAAGACATCAGCTCAACGTAAGGAAATGCTCAGTCAAAGGTAGCAAGAAATATAAATTTGGAATTTGGGACCCATCAACGGGTAAAGTCAGGGGCAGATTCCCCAAAAACACATGCAATTAAAAACGAAGTTCATCATTAATCTAATTAGCCTAAATCAAAATTGAAGTTGAAGCCATCCTCCATCGGCTAATTTCGAGGTTGTGAACGAAAAAAGATTGCTATGTCTGACTTCAACTTTCCGTAACTCCTTTTCAATATGTGAATAATCTTTTATCCCCAAAAAAAATTTAAAATTGAAGGATTGATCTATGTGAACCTACCACTCAAATCAACCTCCGCCAATGTATTTAAGCCCATGTACAAAAGCTTGTACACAAACATGAAATAGTTAAGCCACCCGAATCATTCTTTTACCTCATCAGACCACCCTAACACAGTAACATCACGTCGGTGGTCTTGCAATCATAGCCAAACGTAATTGAAGCAAAAAAGTCTTGATTCATCAAGGCTAGACTCTATTAATCTTTTGACCGATACGACAGCTCAGAAGGCATAAACCGAATCATAATAATTATACATAGCACCACCAAACAGTGGCTAAACGTAAAACAAGTGTCGCATTCCTTTTTCTCCTTTAAAAACATTGTGCTTTTGATTGCCTTCTTGATGAGAGGATACAAACAAGAGACCAGCTTGCCCGGTTTACATCGTTATAACATGGCATGGCAAAAGCATAACATGCAGAAACGTCACAGCTATTAAGAAAGAATACCCATCCGACAAGTATATCTTCTGGACATTGATAATCCTAATGTTAAGATGGGGTCCTATCATGCACAAACATCTACAAATTTTACTTAGGCTTTACATGGTAATGCAACATATCAGCAAGGACATTCATGCATTGTGCGAAGGATTTCCTAGCCCAAACAAATTGTAATTGCTTGTTAGTGACTGCATAAGAAAGCAGGTGAAGAATAAGTTGTTCTACACATACATTTGTTATTGTCTTTCTCATTAAGGAATTGAATATTACTAGAATTAATAATCTTAACCCCGTAACTATTACACCTTTGAATAATAAAGTTACTTTTTCATCATATATAAGCTTTGCGATATCAATCAGAGTTCTCATATTAACTAATTAGAGAGACAACCAGATTACCTCCTCAAAGACCGCGGATAAACCACATTCATTTACAATTTGGTAAACGAAACAGCGAATTTAAACTATGATTTAGATTAAGCATCTCTCGTTCAATCACCAAAATATAACTAATTCTCAAAAGAAAAGTAATGGTTTAATTTCCGACCAAAGATTAACTATCTGTTGCTCCGTTCCAGGTTCTGCAATTCAAAGTTATAAATAAACTATTCAAAAATAGTAAAGGTGAAAGACAGACAGTCTACCATATGAAACGATGTCAACAATCGCAACACCAAGAATGAACAGAAAGACGTCGTCCAAATTCAACACTCGATGACAATAGTCATTGATTAATACTAACTAATTGATACTAATGACTTGCTGAACCCATCATTATTTTTCTGGATCTCTCCATACAAGCATTATTTTCCCTCAGTCGACGACTATCACGTAAATTGATAAAAACAAAGGCAAAAACGTTGCACATCTATTTGACGACCAAATTCAGAAATAACAAGATTTAAATTAAAACAGGAAAGATCCATATAGGAACAAAAAGATGTCAGAGGAAGGAAGTAATACAAGGTGTAAATCAGTAATTAGTTGTAGTAGAGCTCCAGGCCCATGCCGTCATGAATCTCGTAATCTTTTAGGGTGATGTGATCCTTATAGATGGTGTACCACTTCTGAATGCGGATCTTGTCAGGTCTGGTACCCGTCTGAGCAGCCACAAGTTTTTTCAAGTCACCGATGGTGTCATCCTCATTACACTTTACCCTCACCTTCTTCCCCAGACGGTCATTGAGCACCACTTCGATCATCTTAATCAATCAAACCCAAAATGCTGTGATGACCCGTTGGAAGTAGGAACTCTCTAGACAAACAAGATGCAATATCCCTCCAGCTTCAGCTTTTTCAATGGATCGATATATATAATAAAAATCGTATTCGCTGTCGCTGTGACTGCTCTCCCGAAATATGGCGCGCCATTAACTTCTCTAGAACATTCGCTTCGTCGTTGAGGATAATTTGGTCTTTTAGGTGATCGGGCCGTTGGTAATGGGATAGTGACCGTATGGATCCGATTCCGTTTCGTGATGGATGGCTCAGTGGTCTCGGAAGGTGCTAGTACGTTCGCGCGCGCGCGCAAGAGAACTTCCATTCAACTACTGGCCTTGCAATCACGAGCATGGTATTTGCCCAGATGCGGCTTCGAGAGACACCTTCTTTATGAACACCGGGACATAAATTTTGACGGATTAAATTCATCAGGTTCATCCATTTCAAAGTCATAATTATAAAGCGTGTGAACTGAATAATCCTTCCATCTATGTTACTAATAGTTGTTTGGAGTGAGTCTTTACTGTCTTGAAACCGATCCGAACATTCTGTACGTGAATCATCCGTAGAAATCTAAAATCCTGAAACATTGATTGTACTTGGTTAAAAATGAAACTTGACATAATGCATTGTTAACAAGTCATAACAAATAATCTAATTTAATTTACTATTCTAAAATCCCCCTTAAATTCAATTGCCTGTTAATTTGATAAAAATAAAGTTCATTCAATCGATCATTAAATGCAATTTATATGTGAATATAATTCTCACACACACAACAAACTCCCCCCCCCCCCAAAAACCATACACAGAAAAATTTAAAACTACGTGAATTGAATTCCTGGATGTATAAAGACTATAAGTCGTTGCATCATAACGGGAATGATTAAATAGGAGAAACTAAATATAATTCGTTAAATAGTGGGGAACCCATAAGTGGCTTACAGGAAGAGGCAAAACTGAAAATCATAAACAAGCTTGATATCTAATGCGGGAACAGACAGAAGCAGACAATAAGGAAAACAAAAATATACTGTACATGAATCAGCTGCGGAGGCCCTCGCTAACCAAGAACATTAGGACATCATTCCAGAACCGCAACCTCTTGGTCCACCCTCCAGTAATTTGCGTCATTGAATTCCTTCATACTACCAGGTCCACCTTCTTCAGAATTCTCCCTCTCCGGCGCCTTTTGGGATGGGTTCTTTTTCAAAGGTCCCGCTTCCCCAACTATTCCTTCTTTTAGAGCCAGTTCCATAGCCTTCTCAGTACCTTCCAATTCCACGCCTACAAATTCCACATCCTCTTCGAAGAGGGAGGGTACTGCTGCTGTTTTTGGATTCGAGTCACCATCCACCTCCTTAAAATCTCTAGTTGGAGACCCATTTGAAGGTACAGACTCTCCATTTGCCGTAGGACTAGGGCTACCTAATTGAGATTTGGCGGAAGAATTGCCATCGGACTCATCATGATCCAAAAAGGGGTTCGTGCTTGAACCAGCCACTTGTATATCTGACGGTTCACCCCATCCCACCCACTCAGGTAGCGGCCTATCCCCAAATAAGTCCTCATTGTCTGGTGCTTCAAACCCAAAGAATCCCATATCATTTGACACGCTTGCCTTCTCACCTTCCAAATTCAAAATGCCACCATTCATGGAATCAAAGGCGGTTAAACCGCTGAAGAAACTTGTGCTTGAATTCGATGCGCCATTCATGGTATTTTTGTTTTCAGCCATACCTTCATCCTCTCCGATCACCACTTCATCATCGCTACTGTTGTTACCACCATTTGCAGCCCCGTTCAGGTTAATCTCATCCATCATCTCAGAGGATGATGTTCCCCCCGGTGCATCACCAATTCGGTCATCTTGGAACGCAAACCAGTTGGAGTTTGTAAACAGGCTACTGCATTGAAGAAATTTGCCTTTGTTATATCCACAAGTAAATAATTAATATAATAGAAAACGAACAACTGGCGAGCAAATATTGACAGCACAGATAACAATCTAGGAAAACTTTGAAATAAGTCATAAAAAGAACTTCACCAGCTAAGTTGAAAAGATACTGACTTTACATGATAGTAATGGCCAAATAACCTAAAAGGCAATTATGCGGAATTCACAGAAGAGAACATACTATTTGAGCAACAAGTTGGGCAAAGAGCAGATTTGATAGTTAAATGAAATTCCAAAAATACTTCTTTGTACACTGAAACCAAACATGCAAGTAAAGCATGACATTTGGAGATCTGCTTGTAAATAGTTATACTGTAATGCGTCGACTGAGCCATTACCAAAGTTCATCAACAGATCAACACGTTTAAAATCTTTTACATTTATGTATAGCTTTCAAAACTTGAAACCAATAGCATGTCACTTGGCTCCCTAAAGCAATCAACCATTCTCAATTTGCAACTACATTCTGGATATGATGAAAGCCAGCATGGGAAGGCAGGGTGACACGAGTGTCAAAGATCTGTATTTCTTCTATAGTTTATTCTCTGGCCTCTATGTCACATGGATCTTTTAGTCACCATAGTAAAAATGCACAGGCAAATAAGAAACAGGATAGCAAAACCTAGCAAGTAGGCTGGACGCCTGGACAAGATGAATAAAGGAGCAAGATACAGCATTGGATGACAGTCATATGACAAAACAAAAACAGGCTTACCTCCCCTGATCATCACCGAGTCTCAAGGACGATATGACAACTTCTGCTGAGTCATCATCAAAGTAGACATCCTACATTTTATGTAAAATAATTATCAAATTAATTTTAAATTAATCAACAAGAAAGAGTAAAAGACAAAGACAACTAATACTTTGGTTTCCCCATAGAAATGGCAGTTAGCACCGAAAAGAAGAGCATTTAATGCTCAAATATTCAATTGCTAATGCATGCCAAACCGAAGGCTCAACTAATGCTCAGAAGTACATCAACTGAAGCATTGTTGCAGCACAACCCAGTAAAGTGAGAAGACGTTTCCATGAATAGCTAGATCAGATGAATTACCCAAGAAATCAGATTAATCAAATTACTTTAGCTATTAAGAAAAATAAAAACTATACCTCAGCATCACGATCAAGACCTCTTTGGTCCTATAAGCAACAAACAGATCATTAGATTAGACCAGAATTGAGTTTGGCCTAAATATGCAAAAGGTGAATCCAGAAAAGCGGGAATACTCAAAGCACATATTTCCAAGAGCACACAAACACAAGTATGCACATGCATCCTCAGAAAGTAAGAGAGGAAGCGAGGTACTACACACCTCTTCATTTTCCTCAGTTCCATAAATATTATATTTAAAAGGATGGCTCAAATTATTTGCTAAAGCTGCAACATCATAGTCTCTGTCATGAAGATCATCTTCATCACTATCCCTGATTCTATCTTGCAATGCGGTAGGACGTCTGCATATAGCAAGGAAAAATGAAAGATATATCAAAATGAAAAATGATTTACAATACAACAAAGGAAACATAAGACTCGAGATCACAAGGGGCCATAATTGGACATATCTAAAACTAAACCAAACGAATTCTACATATATCAGTCATCACAACCTTGTCTCAACATATGTTGAGCAAAAGATAATATGTACTTACGGTTACTACATACTTTCTCTTGATGCCACGAAGTTCAACAGATAAAATTTTCTTGGTCAAGAAAGAATAGCTAAAATTGCAAACCATAATTTTACATGCACTCCTCAACTTTTAATGCCAGTCACACAAAAACCAACCCCAACCAACCCTTTTAATAATCAAGGTGACCCCGGTGATGTGATCACTCCTACCCACTTAGGGACACGGTCTCAAAAACTTCCAACTATTTTATTAGATGCAAAACAAAAAGGTCCACATAGACATCACGCCCCAAAAAAAAAAACAAGAAGAACTCTTGATAGTAAGTGAGAACTAGCTGATCATTTAGAAACGAGATTCTGAAATCAGAGCTTACCCACAAGCCCAGCGATGAACATTCTCGATCATGTTACGCTCCTGAAGAACAGTAGTTTGCCATTGATTCCACTCACTATTTTCCTGCAGACGTCCAACAAATTTACAGTTTATCCCACATAGCTTGTCTATTAGTATTAAATAATTTTTTTCTGTCACAAAAGTATTCAATGATTTCAAATGAAAGAATATTAGAACCAGTTTTTTAATGTGCCCCATTCATCTGCAGCATAAATTTAAAAGGGGCGGGAGAGGCAAAACCAATAAGTGCATCAAAGACCAAGGATGTCCAAGGAGAATGATAAAGGCAGGTTTATGATTCTCACTCTCTCCAACGCTAAAAGCCAAGAGGAGTCTACTTCAATACAAGGAAAGAAATCAAATTCTTAACTGCCCCTAATAACATCTACAGGCACCTAGTTAGTGGCCGTTGGTGCACTCCCCTACACTCTCAGGTGCCAATAGACCAGTCTCGCCGCTCGCCACACCGCCAATCCCACTACTCACATCATGGATCCCTTCCTCCAAACTCCCTTTCGTCCTGCATCTACTATGTGTCTTCAAGGGTCTCTTATCAAAGAACAAGCTAAAAGATGCTATATTTTATTTTTCCCATAAAAAACCACAGTTGTTTTAACAAATATTGTTGATATGATAAATTAGTACTTAAACAATTAAGCATGAAAAAGCACATCAAGGAGCCATATATCCTTGATGTAGCACAAAATGTGCTATTCAGCCCAAATAAATAAATAAATAAAACAAAGCAGAAGATCATGGGCGCTTATTTTTACAGATCTAAAAGAGTTCTATCCCACAGAAGATTTTCATGCCAGTTGCTATTAAATTCATGACGTGTATAACAGAAACTGTTATCCCAAATAAGACTTTTCAGGCTCCTGTACTAAAGAATACATCATACAGTACCAACCTGAATATATGCTTGTATGTGGCTTTGGTTATGCGCCAACTGAATAAGTTTATTAGCTATTCGAGTAATATGTCCAATGTTTCCTGCCCGTGGTGCCTGTTTTCCAGCAGCAGGTACAGTTGGCTACATGATGATACAATTGTACAGTTAGCACTATTATACATAGCATTTATATGCTATTATATGCTCGAAAAGCTGATTTACTTATGCATCTGCCTAAAATATGAAGAAAAACAATAAATATAAAGGAAATTCAAAACTAAATTCTCAAATACTATGGAATCCCTTGAGCACCATTTATGCTTCTTCACATGCACAGTAGAGTATATGAATGCATCTCAACAGCTGCTCAGTTTCAACAGACAATATATGACTTTCCGTCCACCAGGTTCGAAACATCCACCTACCTGATTATCAATACCAGAAAGAATAGGATGTTTATCTGCTTGAAGGAACTTCCCAATTAAATCACACTCTTGAAGAAGGTGATCAATAATGACATCATTTTTGCTCTCCAAACAGATTAATATGATACTTTCTACATAATGGTGCAACGGGTTGTTATATGGATACCTGTATCAGTTGAACAAAGACTGGTCACGTGAAAAACATAGCATCCAAGATAAGCAGCATTTAAACAAAAGCTACCAGGATGTCACCATATATCTAAATATCCATCAAATCCCAAATTACTAGTTGCTTACTCAAAGAAAAGATCAATGACTCGTCGGATCATTCCTGAGCTGACCAATTCCTTTTGAGCCACTTCACCACCAGTCCTCAGAAGCACAGCTATAAATTCGACAATCTGAAACAAAGAAATCAGTCAGCAAAAGATGTTTCAAGGTCACATCAAAGATATCTTTGAGATGGAATAAAAATAATTTTAATGAGCATACGGGAAATGGAACTTTTTGGAGCAAGGGTTTAAGTCCTATGGCCAAGCTGCAACTATGTATTGACAGCTCAATTCTATGATTGAAAATTGAGAACTAACCTTCAATCGATGCTTCCCAAGTGGAGGCCTCAATTCTCCGTATGTTGTAGGCAAAAGCTTATCATCCGTTGACACATTTAAAACCATGAGCAAGTCACCTGCAGACAAAAAACGTAATTTAAAGAAGAACAAAATTTGGCAACAAGACTTCATCGGGGGAAAAAAAGAACTGTTGGTAATGTTATCCTCTATACCTCCAATTCTCGAACGAACCCCAAAAATAAATGAATGAATGAATGCAGAAAGTGGTTTCTACCAGGGATGTTTGGTCAGTGGCTACAGTTACGTTTAGATGGCAGCAAAAACTATTTTTCACCGCAAAAATCACAGCCGAGTATTTGATGCATTCGTATAAGAATAAGAATGCGGAAGCAGATCAGTTGCTTTTTTCTCAATATTACTCATGGAAAAGCAATTTAGACCAATTGATGATCGCACAAGTTTCATAACAGAGCTAAACAGGCACTGGATCGAAAGAACCCAAAATGATCCGTAGCCTGTTGGCTAACCCAAAAAAAAAAAAAAAATATTGATAAAAAATATAACTGCAATGGTCAGAATTATTCCAGCAGAACAGAACAATGAATAGGAAATTGTACCTCTGCTTAAAAAATTTCTAAGTTATGTTTTAAAATAAACAAGAGCATAAAACATCAATGAAATTTAAAGAAGCCGTATATGCCACAGGCACACAAAAATATACCAATTCCCAAATTATGTGGGTTCCTCTTCATATGACTCCTATCTATCATGTCCCCACTCTAGGCAGTTTTCTTCACAACTGCATTACTTATCACAAATATTATAATCATATAACATGAGTAAACTGAAAAGCCTATATAATTCCTCATTCTTCTTGTATCTCACACAAACAACTACTACATTGAATTCCTTTAGTTCTTTAAAATATATTCAAATTTCTAGAAGAAGTTGAGTGTAGCATTTTCAAATGTGGAATAATCAGAAGATACATTGTTTTAAATGGTTTCATAATAATAATTAGAAAAAACAATTTGAGTAGACATATAAGCAACTATACTATTGATTAGACAAGTGCGCAAAATAAACAAATTCTGAATTACCAAGTTTTGGGAGCATTGCACCAACTGTATCTGGGTTAACGGGAGTTGAAACCTCATATAACTGTTGACTTCGGAAAGAAGGAACAAGTGGAGGTGGAAAGGTTGATCTTCTTGGATTCAACAAGGAAGTACACACTGAAAGTGAGTGAACCAGGCTAGACTTTGACTGTGAATCTTTCAGCGCATGGTCCATAATTCTTGCAACAAAACTGCATGTTAAAATAAGCTAATAATTAATTCACAGTCTATATTAAAACCAACAACAAAAAAATCACAACCACTCAACACGAACCTCGGACTTGAAAGTTTAATTGCCAAAGCAGATGAGGAATTTCGAGTTATTGCACACAAGGTCTCAGCTGCATTTGCATGAACTTCAGGAGGACTCTGATATCAAATAGAACACATGATATTTTTACAACAAAAGAATTGAACCATCAAATAGCTTATTCACCATAACAATCGCATGCAAAAGCCTTAGACTAGGGTCTTTCATCATCTTTTCTCTATCCAAAATTTATTTAATGTGGGCCCATAGGGACATAATAAGTTCTTTTGAAGTGAGGCGCCTAACAAGTTCTTCTATCAATAAATCAAATTTCTTCAGCTGGACAACCACTAGCTTGCAGAAAACCCCCCAAATTTTAAGTGAGGATAATTCAACCTCACTGAACATGTCCATCGCAGGAATTGAAAAACAATGCTCCCACTAAAAAGAAGGTAATGTTATGATGTGGTAGATAAAAATAGTGGAGACTTACTCGTAAAGATTTATATCATGTAAAGTTTCAGGCAACAATTATTCTCCAAAAAAATAACCACAATTGCTGAAACACAACAGCTGCTGACACTTGATATTGAAAATATCTGAACCATACAGCTAATAGGAAAACACTGGTAAAAAAAGAATTCAGGCCCAGAGAGCTTCACTTACAGAAGGAGTTAATTTATCAACAATCATCTCTAGGAGGTTGCTCTCAGCCAACCACTGGATCACATCTATAAAATTGGGATACACATGATCATCAGCACCTACTAAGCGAACCAAAACCTGTGCAGACAGCTTATCAGAATTTCTTCTTAACACTGGCAATTTCTCACTAATGCTATAACCACTCTGAAATGGAAAGAAGATTACCTCCATAATAGATGTAATTCCTATCAAATCAACCAGTTGGCCAAAAACATTCTGATGGGCCTGCATTAAGAATGCTGAAGAATTAATGAAAAATGAATTCACAAGGCAAGATACAATACAGAGCGATGGGGTTATCCACAAAATTTTTCTTTTAATAAAGACATTAACAACAAGAGCACTGAGATATTCATACGGTTCTTTTCCATCACCTAAAAATTGCAAACATCAAATTCTACATTTAAAAAGCACTTTTATTACTTACTTGAACATAGTTCATTAGCGGCACCGTCTTCCGAATCATTAGGCAAATAACAACCTACAAAATCGCGTAGAAAGCCACATCAACCAAGTAATTTAAACTTTAATCAGATATGTCTATAAAGTGCCACATCGTGAGCTGAACTTTCAGCATCGTCAGACATACCTTGCTAAAATACCCAGCTAGCAAGGAACCATGAGAACGATCAGGCTCCAAGAAGGAGAATAATAAGTTCATCAACTGCAATTATGAGGATAAAAAGCAGATATCAATACAAATAAAATGCAATTGTATGATATCCAATATAAAATGATTTATGCCATGAACTTAAAAGATCATCTACCTCTTCTTCCTCGACCAATGTCTTCAAAATAACATCAATTTCACACGTGAAAACCTCACAAGCAATGAATGGAAACCTAAATCACAAACCAAAAATCAAATGCTGAGGTTGCAGAAACAAGAAAATTGAAGCAATAAAAGTTTCATGTGAAGTTCATTCGCAACAAATTTTTAGTTGAAACTTATAAACAAAAGAATTCTGCTTCAACGGCATACTTGAACGTCCGTTTGCTTTCAGCATTCTCTGGTGGCTCTTCAATAATGTAGCGCAGCAATTGCTCCACCTGAGCTCTATCCCTCAGGCTGAAATAAGAAAAATATAACCAATGAAATAACATTTTTCAACTCACATATATTAATGCATTTCCAGTTTCTCTTCCTACGTAATTATATATACACCCGATTGTAATGAATATATCAGATTTGGGAAGACACAAAAGAGGGACACAAGGAGAATCTGGAATGTTTGCAGCAACGGAAACATAATTTAAGTTCAACTAGTCTCGAACATACAAGTTAATTAGACGACTGTTTAAGGCCTTGCATTCTTGGATAATTTCTTCTTCATCCAGGAGTTCTTCTAAAGTGAAATTCTCTTTATCCAAAATTGCCTCAACCTGAAAAGCACCATACGCGACAAAGAGGAAAACAATTAGCTATGCAGACATGGAGTCATGTGACGGTTTGACCATCAATTAAATTTAAAACATCCTTTTAAATTTTAGATCGTCATTCGTAAAGTTCCCAAATATAAAATTTGACCCTGTAGAGGATTCTGTCAATAGCCATAAAGGTAATACAATATTCTCAGGAAAAAGAAAGTTATTGTTCAGTGTCTTTGAGTTCTAGACTGTAGAATTCAGCGGCAAAACATTCAGAAGATTTATTTCTCAAAATTTACATGAATGCAGAAATCGAGGAGTTTTTATTGCTCAATTTGTCCCCGTCAACATCATAGAGCTCAAGACCATCAAGCAAAGTATATCAATGGCACATATGTTGAGAAGCAAATACTAAGATTTAAATTACAGACTATTCTTAGAAAATTGCCAAAACGCATCCATAACTTCTAATTGAGATTTTCCAAGCATGGTTGGCAAGCAAAGGAAACAGTCGTGCCTAGTCTCTGTAAATTATGACTATGACACTCCAAAGCACGAAAACCCGCAACAACAAAGGTTGATCCCGTTTAACGGAAAATGTAAAAAAATGGCTGGCGGAGCGGGAAAACAGGTAATTGTAAACATAGCTATAGCTACAGAAATGAAGCTTGAAGGGGCAATCTGACCGATGCTTGAACTAGATGAGAGAAGCGGAAATCAAACCAAAGTTTGAAAGCAGCGTAAGTAACGTGTGGCACAGTAATTCACCATCCAAAAAAACAAAAGAAGCTCGAATTAAGAGCACAAACTTACAGGAGAGGAGGCAGATATAGATGGGAGCTTCCAAAACATGTCTGCGGAAAGAGTATGCAGAGAGAGGTGAATTCAGCAGAGCTCGGAACAGGACCTCCTCGGATCTAAGAACCCTTGAAACACCGGCAAATCTAGGTCAAGTCGATGGAACATAGAAACGGAAAGCTCGAGATGCAAAGGAGAGGATGAAGATAACGGAGGAGCTAGGCCGTGTGAAGGCTGTAAACCCTAATTTCGTGGACGTAGAGATGGAAAAGATGCAGCGCCGTGAAGATCGACGGAGGAGGGAGTGATAAGGAGGGACAGAGTTTAGTCTAAAAAACGTAGCAACAAATCAACAGTTGTCAAATACAAATCACTGATATAGGGGAGGGGACTAAAGTACAAGAGATGTACTCCGGAATTGCCACCTCAAAGTCCAGTGCCACAAAAATAAATGTGAGCGTCGCTTAGGTGCGAATGATCATATCTCTCTTTTCTACGGTTCCATGGTGTCCTCCTCCATAGCATTCTACCATTCCATTTGACATCTCTTTCTATATTTCACCAGGAACATTTGAGAATTAAACGTTATTCAAATGCAATTTTAAATTTATATTTTAAAATTAATAATTTTGAAATAAAAAATTATTTTTAACAATTAATCGTTAAAATATTATTTTTATTTTATACCTTAAGATATTTTTTAAAAGATAAAGAATTAGATCTCATTAGTGTAGGCCATTTTTTATGAGCCGAAAAACTAGTTCCTTCTCCCATACTAGTATTTTACACTGGGAAAGAACCTAAAATATCGTTTTTTTTGGTTGAGACAGTTTCTAGTTGTGGATTGTTGGAAACATGATTAGAGAAAAATTGCTTGTGGTGGATGGGTCTGTTCTAATGAATGGACACGGTGGCTATGGCGGGGTTATTCGAGATTACTTAGATCGTTAGATACGTGGCTTTTGTTCTAAACTCATGAATGTGCATGCCCCCAACATTTGGGAAATTGATGAAGCTTTTGCATGGTTTGAATTTATTCTGGTTTAGAGGTCTTCAAGAGATCTGTATCTTTTCAAATTGCACAAGGGCTATCAATTTAGCGACTTGAGGGTGCAAAAATAGTTACTTGTTTAAAGACTTAGCTGTTGATGTCAGCTTAATTATTAGTAGAGATTGGCAACTCATTTTTGGTTGTGCAGAAAGGAAGACGATTCCCTTAACAAATCAATTAGCTAAATACTCTCACAATGGCAATTTTACATCCTTGATCACCTTCTTCCTAATGTTTCTGAAGCAGCAGGTGGTAGAGGAGAATAAGACTTGTTGGTTTGGTTCATACTCTTGTTTTTGTTACTTGTTTTCCGGTTATCATTCAAAAAAAAAGAAAAAAAAAAAGAACATTGCTTGTGGCCAATGGTCTTCAAGGTTGCTGGGTATGTTGGTTTAAATAAATTCTGAATAGGGTGTCATGACATTTTTGTCTCGCAATTTAGTTCCATCGAACTCACAATGTCATCGTCCCCTAGTTAGGCTTGGAGACACTATTGATTACTGATTTGTATGCTGCTAGAAGGAGATTTCAATCTAATGACTGCCTCCATTTCATACCATCGATCGTTAAAATATTTTTTTCCGTGTTTCATTATACCAGTCAATTTTAGATTCCAAGAATGCTAGATTTTTTTTTTTTTAATTTTCTGTGTTGTCACTTGTTAATTCTAGATTTCAAAACTGCATTAAATTAAGAGAAGTGTTTATTTAAATAAATATTCAAGGCATTTAAAGAACAGTAAATTGATTTTACAAAGTCTAATACTATTATTTAATAATTCGTAAAAATTGTTTTTGTCACGAGTAACATGTTGTCTTGTGCTAATCAGATATGAGGAGGGGGGGCGTAGTGGATTGCTGGGGGCTTAATAAAACAAAAGTAATGATCAATCAATGAAAGGTTTGACCGTCGGTGGTTAATCTACTGGTTACTCCTCTGATCTTATAAGGTACTTTCAGCATGTTTCACACAGACCAAGAAAAATCTTAAATTTCATTAACTCTCATTTAAAATTTAATGACTTTTCAACTTTATCCCTATTTAATATGCATTATACCTCATATAAATCAACACAATAATAAATGAGGAGTAAAATTGTACATCTATGCAAAAAATTTCTTCCAGTACCCTATAAATAGGACCAAAAAATACTTTCTCCCTCTGTCCTGTAAATAGGATCAGAGGAGTACTTAACAATATTTTGGATGCGGTTATAGTTCAGCCAAACGACTAACCATATCCGTTATGAGACATTATACCCCAGCGGCTCATGAACCAGTACCTGCACTTTCCACGTCTCCCCCTCAACCATCTGGCTGCGTGTCCGCTGGTGGCCTTAATATTTTCGTATTATAGAGCACTTTTGAAATATTTTATTGAAATTAAGGAAAGTATTAAATCTTATTAACTCTATTTTAAAATTTTAATAATTTTTCAATCCTATTATTCCTATTTTTAATATTAAAAACACAAAAACCCTCCCTGTTCTATAAATGTTTTTTAATATTTTGATGGTTGAAAGGTATAATTTTTCATTACAAAAAAAAATGTGGAATTTTTTTCAATCAAGCGTGATCTTAACTCTTAAGAAATATTTAACCGAGAAAGAGGTTAGTAGAATGTGTGTTTCGATTTTAAGATATGACATACATGAATTTCTCAAAACAAAAAAAAAACCAAACGAAAAGATACTCGCAACGCAGACCTCATTATAAAGGATAACTTATCCAACCATTTTTATATTTTTCCAAACGGCCAAAAAAAAGGTAGAAGAAGAGGAAGAAGAAGAAGAAGAAGGTAGTGACGGGCACGTGCTGTTGTGTCGGCAACTTTATTTTGAAAGTTAAGGGATTGGTACTTCTGCGTGCGGCTTTTGCTTGAGGTGGGATCGGCCAATGGGAAGATTAGACACCACTAACACGAAAAGGTGCTCAGCCAAAGAAAGTTGAAGTGCGTTTGGGTCAATGATGGACAAAAGATTATATTTCATTTTGCAAAACCAAACGAAGATCAAATGACTTGTCATTTCCCCTTCCTCCATTGCTTCAGCCTTTTTTATGGTCTTATGAAATTGATCAGCGAATGAACTGAACTCACAGAACGAAGCCAGTAATCAAAGTACGACGAAAATTTCGCTCATGTTTGCTGATCATTTTGAAAGAATAGATCATGTGGTAAACTCTACTTTGATGATTCAATTATGGACAGAGCCATTGCCTTCTCAACCACCCAGAAAATCATTGAAGCCGCAAAGCTGTGATCTTGGAGAAGGTATATTGAATCTGAGTTGCAGTGACTCTCGCGCTAAATGGAAGCCTCCTATAGAAGGTTGGGTTTGGCTCAATGCTATGGCTCAGCGGATCTAAGAGGAGGAACTACCCAGGGAGGTCTTTTTAGGGATGACTCAAAGGTTTGTTACTCTTGTTCTAAATATAAGACTTATCTTATAGTACTAATTTATCTTATAATACTATAAGATAAGTTTTTTATATTTAGGACAGAATATAACAAAAAAAGTAATGGATACTTTGAAGGATTAAGAATTGACTGGAATCAGAGGTGCAAAAATGTCTGTCTTTACTTTTTACTGACCACATAGAAGCTTTAAACCTTGTACAAGTGAAGAATTTACTGCAGATGCCCGTCTTGTGAAAGGCAAGCGTTATTATTGTTATTATTATCATTTTGCCGATTTATATAACAAACCACTTGTTAGGCAACTGGTCTCTCTCTGCATAACAGCAACGACACAACAATATCCGAGATTTGGAGGCGCCATTATATTTTAGGTATAAAAATATTTTAAATTACGTGTCAAACGCTAAATCTTTTTTCTTTTAAAATGAGACAAGAATTTTAATGGTAGGAAAATTGATGGTTAAACATGAACCATCAAGCTTCTTACTTCTAAACTTTCAAAGATTAGTGAGGTGACGTGCAACTTTAGATAGATTTTATGTATTTTAAACTTAATATTATTACTAAAATTTGAAAAGTAATCATGATTCTTTTTTTCCGCTTGCCCAAAAATAAAAGATCGCCAAGTCAAGTAACTAACACGCCTATCTGGTCTGAACCGGAAAAATAAATCAAATAAAATCAAAAGCAAACCCCACCCTGCAGCATGTGAACAAAACTCATGGATTCATTTTTCCCCTTCCACAAACTTCTCCCGTTTTAACCCTTCATTCATATATTCTAGGGTCATACAGGGCGTTCGTTGTTCAGATAAATGACCAATTTATGAAAGAGAAAGCTAAGCAATGAACACTGTTATCTTCCGCGATAACTTTCCACGCGAGAGCTTGTTCATACGAAACATGCCGTCCCATCATGGACATGCAAATTCCGGCAGGCAGACAAGCGGAACCCTGTTCCAAGCATAAACAGATAAAGTCAGAGACAAAATGACATAAGAATGATCGTGGAATCTCTCCATAAAAATAGGCAATTGAAGGGAATGAATTCGCTCATGAAATCACCTCCTGCATCAACTTGGCGAATTCTGAACACAATGCCTTGCGTCCAGAGTCGTCAAATACTTTATCCAATGTGATGTCTTGCAAAGCTACTAGAGTTGTTTCCAGCATGTCAAGCCCTGCCTGGTTTGCAAAGATGAACACAGGCACGGACTGCGATGCCAAATAAAAACATAGACAAATGAGCAGCTAATTTTGACATGCACAAACTATACACTAGTGAATTCCAAAATAAAATTTTATTAGGCTTGAAGGATATACCAAGCTATAAAAAAACTAACTCACCCTCACTGAACAACACAAAATGGCATCCTGATGATGCCATAAATGTTTCAGCAATTGATCACCTACGAGAGCATCCGATCTCAATAATTCTGCTCCCAGATAGAAACTGCACTAAACAATGAAAGAAATGAAAATGGAGATAAGGAGGGGACAGAGATGTTTCAGACTTCAAAGAGATAATACAACGACAGGAAAATTTATTCAAGAATTATGCAATACACCATTTATTCATTAAATTTTAGACTTCGGAAAATATAATCATCAGATGATATGAAGACTTGCCTATAACTCCGGCATATCCACTGAGATAGAGTAATTGCTTCGGGAGAGCCAGGACCAAGTTTTGGTCCCACAGTTGGGCTTATACCAGATGGAGATATGGCCAACGCAACCCTCTGCACAGATGCAATCACGCTGCGTACATACTGCCGTGCCATGACTGCAACATTTTCCTGCAAGCTGCTCTCAAAAGGAAACTGAAAGGCAATAGTCAACACCGACCGAGTATAATGGCATGATAATGCATCTCCTGCAGCATGATTCGTTGATGGGCCCACTTCAAGACCAGACGTCAGCTCCAGGGTCCGATTTACAGATACTGCATCCTTCTTATCACCCTGAAACATCACAACATGGTCACGGGGATCCAGATATTGATACCCTAACAACAAACCCTCCCTAAATGACAAAATAATGTGCTCAGTCAACACCCTAGTATGGTATCCACAAGCACATGTAAGTTAATCTGTAAACAACTGCAGGTGCCAAACACACAAACCATTATATCTTGAACAAAATGAAGAGAAAATTAGTACTACCATCTTGTGAATACTTTATAACACAAATAAACAGAACTCAACTGATTTTGAATCCAATGGGATGATGCGGAAACCCGAGGGCAACAATGGAGCATCATCAGGGAACATATCATCAATTGAAGCAAATATAAGCTCAGAACATGCCCCAACAGCATTTTCATCAATCCCACTACATATCTGCAAAACTAGCAACAGCAATAATAAATTAATAATACACTGCTCAGTTCCCAGGTAATTTTATAACACCAAACTCTATGAATAAATTATAGCACTGCATAAAGTGATCTATTGGTCAAAGGCAGCATCCTTAAAAGGCCAGACACCAAAAAACTACTGAGACACGAGCCCTGGAAGGCAGAAAGCTTTATCGTACACTAAGTAGGGATTGTAGCTAACCAAGCTTTTTAAAGTAATCTGTTTGGGCGAGGAGGATGAACTGTGGCTAACCAAGCTTTTTAATGAAATTTTACGTCAAATGATTGAAGGAGAAGCATTTTAGTTCCTATTTATAAGAATAAAGGAGACATTCAAAACTGTGCAAACTATAGAGGGATAAAACTTATGAGTCATACAATGAAGTTGTGAGAAAAAGTGATTGAACATAGGTTGAGATTGAAAACTTCTATTTCAAAGAATCAATTTGGATTTATGCCGGGGGGATCCACAACTGAAGCAATCTATTTACTAAAAAAATTAATGGAAAAATATAAGAGTAAAAGAAAAGATTTACATGTGGTTTTTATTGACTTGAAAAAAGCTTATGATCGTATGCCAAGAGAAGTATTTTGGAAGGTTTTGGAAAAGAAAAGTGTACGAGTTGTTTATATCAAAGCTATACAAGATATGTATGAGGGGGTAACTACTAGTGTAAGAACGCTTGGAGGTGAGACAAATGACTTTCCCATTAAGATTGGCTTGCATTAAGGATCTTCTTTAAACCCTTATTTGTTTAATATTATTCTGGATGTTCTAACTGAGCTTATCTAAAAAAGAATCTCCAAGTCCATGCTCTTCGCAGATGACATAGTCATCATGACAGAGTCAAAAGAAAAGATTAACTCTATATTGGAATTATGGAGAAGGACTTTAGAGTCGAAAAGTTTTCGCTTGAGTAGGAACAAAATAGAATATATGCATTGCAATTTTGTGGGGAGGCAAAGCAACAATGATTTGGAGGTGAAGATGGGGGATCAAATCATTCCTCAAGTATCAAAGTTTAAATACCTTTGATCCATTATACATGAGGATGGTGAAATTGATAGAGACATTTCTCATAGAATACAAACTAGCTAGTTAAAGTAAAGGAAGGCTACTAGAGTTATTTGCAATAAGAAGGTACCTGAAAAGCTTAAGGAAAAATTTTATCGGACTGCTGTAAGACCAGCTATATTGTACAGTAGTGAATGTTGGGCGATCAAGGAAAAACAAGAGCACAAAGTTGGGGTAGTAAAAATGAAAATGTTGAGATGGATGTGTGGTTATACAAGAAAATATAAGATTCGAAATGAAAATATCAGAGCAAGAATTAGTGGAACACCTATCCAAGAGAAAATGATTGAAAATCGTTTAAGATGGTTTGGACAAGTGTAGAGAAGGCCATTAAAGACCTCTGTAAGAAGGGTAGACAAGACAATATAGAATCCCATAAAAAAGGACAGAGGAAGACCGAAAAGAACGCTCAATGAGACCATTGAGCAAGACCTCCTAGTCAATAACATATCTAAGGACTGAGTTGTTAACAAAGCACGATAACGTCATGTGTGATTCATGTAGCCGATCCCATCTAGTGGAATAAGGCTTGTTGTTGTTGTAAGTAGGGATTGGATCCTATGCACTAGGCAAGTAAATGCAGCGTGTTTATTTAGAGAGAGGGGACAGAAAGAGAAGTGGGCTTCATACACATTCTCACACTGTCATTCTCCCAAACGCATGACACATTGATGCAGATGATCTGAATCATCCTAATTAGTCACGATATGTCAAATTCCAAAGATGGTTTTCATCGTAACTTTGCACCTATAGAATGCTAGCTTTGGCCCAGGCAGTTAATATATTAAGGCACGGATATTTATGCATTGTTCAAGAAAATAAAAACTTGTTCCAAAAATGACATCCCGTTTTATCTGACTTCACTCAAGCGTAAGGGACGAGAAATTCCCAATATTTCAACAAGAGTCATAAACAGCACCTGTAAGAGATGAATATCTCTAGTAGCAAAAGCTTCTTCCTGAGCGAGAGAATGGCTTTCCAGACGAACCATTTCAAGCATCTGGAATGTAAACACAATTAGCCGGAAGTATTCACCGAATATGAAAACTCTTGTCATTGCGTGAGCGACAAAATCAAAATTTAAAAAAGAAAAAGAGCAGACTGGCAACTGCAGTTCATACTAAGAGCCATTTCCCGCTGGCCCTGAAAATACCAATAAGTTGAGGAGAAAGACCAAAACTGCACTTAGACATGTATATTACTTGCACTGAAGCCGGGGAAGGGAATGCGAAAGTACCTCTTCATGTTCAATTGTATGGCCTAGAGGCATGATAATTTGAGTTCCCGTGAATCTAGTTGACCTCATGCCAGGATAGGCAAAGGAACCTGCTTTAAGTGATGCAGCAGAGTAGGCATCAACATTAAAATCAGCCCACTCAGAGCGGTGCTCCCTCAGAAACCGAACCAAAACTGCTGGAGGGACATTCTGCAAATACCATATAAAGATTGTAACATATAGTCATTAGTTAAAATTACTTTTATACAGCAAACAGACGTCTAAAAATCAGTATTCATGAATATATCTATAACATTATTTTCACCAAAGATTATTTGTTAAAGCAGTTATCATGAACCAGTTTTATGCTAAGCATAAGCTACCACTGCCTTCACAAAGCACGTGCTTCCTAACTTCCATTTCATTAAGAACCGAGTCCAGAAAGAAGAAAAACAATCAACTAGGGATAAGCCCCCCATGCGTTGGTAAAAACAATAACTACACTCATGCCATTCTATTTTCAGCCATACCTGGAGCAACATGGAAGCTCTAGCACAAAGAACTCCTCCAAGGAATGTTAGGGAACTTGCAGGATTAGAAGTGGCACTCAGATTCTTGGTTGAGTTGACTGCAATAATGACATCATCAGCACCATCACAGTTCATTATGGACCAGCCATCATCATTAAATCCATTGACAGCGTCATTGAAGCCTCTGCAAGTATAATGGATTAGTTCAAATGAAACTGTGAGATTCTACTACTTCTCAGAGCAGATCTCTGCACAGTCAACGTAATTTGAAACAATAAAATTTCATTTGCTTACCTGCTCAGCCTTTGGCTGAAAGTTCGCAAAACAGCAGGCTGCCTACCTAAACCATAAACAACTTCGCCACTTGTTTCTTGAGCTATTTGCCTGACATAGCGCAGCGCCTATCACAACAACAATAAATTACTAGAAATTTCATTTGAAGCAAGCAAAGCCACAGGAAGCAGGCTTCAGCATGACAAAAAATGGATCACTTGCTGAACATTGCCAGCAGAACCAAAAATGAGAATATTTCTGAATCAAAAACACCAGAGCAACAATCTCTAATGGATGCATCATCATCTGCAGGATTTAATCTCTATAATAGTAAACTGCGAGATGTATCTCTACAGCACAGAGCAGAAGACTATCTGAGTAATGATAAAATTATCATTATCAGTTTCTATACATTAAAAAAGGCTACTTACCGCAATTGTCCTTTTCTGAGCAACCATTTTTGGTGATTCATAAAGGGGCCTCAGTACCTCTGGCACACTCCATGCCTAAACAAAAATCGTCATCCGGTTAAATACATTATCTGAAGAAAGCTGACATATGTACTTGTGAACAAGCCAAACCTCAAGATTTAAGTGATCCACAATATGGATGATTGATCCTCCACCTTCACATGGTCGAATTAGGTAGCCACTTGGGAGCATTTTAGCTCTAACAAACTGAGCAGCAGCTGCCGCGTTAGGGCCAGTACCAGAACCAGACAGTGATCTCTCACAAACCTTCAGGTGGGGATTCAAGAAAAATAGAAGTGTAAATCAGGTAAATTATCTCCAACAAGAAGAATTACAAAATGAAAAGACGGGGGCAAACGCTCACCACAAGACTTCCGTTGTCCAAACTTGTAGTGTATCTCAGAGTCCAGAAATCCCGGGCAGGAGCCAATGTAGTTGGAGCATATGTCTGCAACAAATTTAATTTTGAAATCGAAGATAAATGAGGCAGATGCAGATTTCAAAACTTCACAATTAAATGCTCACCTGTGTGTACACAAGTTCAATCGTTCCACCATTGCCAGCAGGGAACATTGTAAAAACTTCTAGACTCCGACAGTCCCGAAACCAAGATGGGCGATCTTTTAGGATCTCCGCAATCTACCAATAATTTTGATTCATGGTGAATTAAAATTCAAGAAGCTCATAGACCGATAATAACATATCGAGAAAACCAAATTTTACCTCCCACTCTACTTGAGTGAACTTACCTTTGTAGGTTCTAAACTAACAAGACCACATGCTCGAGCCGCCACTCCACTGCAACTTCGCGAAATGGCAAAGATCCCAACCGAATCCGGACCAGGCTAACGACAATAATATCAAGTCGAAAATTCTTAGGGGGGAGAGCAAAACTTATCTCCTAAAACACTCCTGCCCACTGATTTATTTACTAAAAATTTTCAAGCAAGGAGAAATAGCAAACCTTCATCCCAGGCATCTGGACCCAATCAACAGCAGTTCCCGTAGCCTTTGAAAGGAACTCTGCCAAGGTCTCCTCTGCAATTGATATGAGTCTGCAAAGATCGGCCAAAAAAATGAAAAACAATATCATCATATGAAGAAGATGAAGACCCAAAAATATAAACTGTGAAATTACCCAGCAGGGTTATTGGCATCTCTCAAGGAGGGCTGAGGTGTGGTGGCCACCGAATCACAACTTGCATCAGTAGTTGCTGCTGACGCCTGCAGGAAAACCATAACGTGAATAATAATTCCATCGGCCAAATCATATTCGATTCCCTCAACAGATAATATAAAAGCTTCACATGCTTACGCTTTGCAATTGCTGCGTCATAAACCCATTTTCGCATACTAGTTGGGAAACCTGCTTTTGCAACCGCTCATTTTCCTCCATCAACAACTTGTTCATAGCAGACAGTTTCCTGTTAACAGTCTGAAGTCGCCCTGACTCCTTTTTCTGTTTCTCTCTACACCTGCGTTGACGGTTAGCGAACAATCTTATCAAAGGGCTTCAAAAAGAAATACCAGCGTGGTTTCTGGTTATGGTAATTCAAAGGCTACTTGGGAGCATTTCCTTACCTGCGATTTTGAAACCAAACCTTGATCTGCTTGGGTTCGATGTTGGCAAGAATAGGGCACTCTCGGATCAATTGTTGCCTCCGCAAGGAGCTGGGCTTTGGGCACTCAGCGTAAACCCGTTCGAGCGCTTCAATCTGCTCTGCCGTGTATCGAACATACTTGCCGGAATCAAGGTGCTTGCTGATGCTCCCGCTGCTGCTTTCTCTATGGGGAGCCATGGCCATGGCCATCTTTCCAAAACACTGAATTCTGAATCAAGATGAAAATGAAACGCCCTATGGAGCGAACAGACTGAAGAACAAAGAAAGCAGAGGAGAATGAAGGGTGTTTGATCGAAACTCGAGAGAATTCTTGGGTGTAGCAGAATTAGACGGACAACACAGACAGAAAGTCCTTTTTTTTTTTCAATAGGTTTGACCTTCGTTATTGATTGATGATGTTCTGCACAAATCCGCTCAGAAACTCCTCCGCTTTTGAGTAAGAATCTATGAAATAGGCAAATAGCTTTCAAGCATGCAATTCCAGTTTCATCAGCTAAAACACAGGCTACTGTTACTCACAGCCTTTCAACAAACCACCTGCTGCAGCTTGTCGCCCACAATACCAGATAATGTCTCAAGAATTGAGAGTAAATGCCCTTGCCAGCAATATACGAACCTCACAATCTTAGCGAAGCTCAATGGAGAAACAACATAGAAATAAATAAGCTACTTTGGTTGGGATGTTGAACCCAAGAGCTTTCCCTTTTCAACAGGATTCCAGTGAAAATAGGAAAAGGAGGGGAAAAAAGGGAACAAAGCGAGAAGAAACGCAAAATCACAAAACACTTGGCAGTTGAGCTTGAGGAAGAAGGAAAGAATGGGGGTGGTACGGTGCCCTTAGGACTCTCTCGAACCATGGTAGAGAGGCATCCGGGGAAACTAGTAAAAGAGACAGAGGAGAGAGTGAAACCCTACGCATAAGCAAAATCAAAAGACAAATTTCTGGGAATCGGGGAGGGAGAGAGAGATAGCAATACTGAGACACTGACGTCTGAGGGAAGAACCCAAAAAAACAGTGGGAAAGAATAAAGTGAGAGCCTGAGGGGAAGGAAAGAAGAGGGGAGGCCGAGGCACACGTATCGAGAAACTAAGAGGGGACTGTGCGTTTTGTTTATTATTATTTTATAATTATATCACTTATTTTTTCCTCTATGCTTTTTTTTAAATGAAAGATTATTTAATCAAATTATGCGATTTAAAAAATATTTAAAATTAGTAAAAAAATAAAAATCTAAAAATTAATTTATTTTCAAGCATGTTCTTATTTAATAAGGGACAAATAAAAACATAGTACAGATAAATTAAATGATGAATGAGAATGTAATATGAGAAGAAGATAGAGAAAGAAAATAAAAATTAAGAGCAAAATTAATAAAACACATTTAATATTTAAATGTCTTTAATAAAATCTTATAAAAAAACAGACCAATTCACAATCTGAATATCATGAAAAAGATCTGAGAGAATAGTTTCCATTTACGTGGTCGTCCCTATTCTTGGTTTGACATGGCAGGCTACGATTCAGGGCACAAAGGTCATCCCGAGACAAAGTTCACGATAATAATATTATTTAAATAGAAATAAAATTATGATTTAAAAAATAATTTTATAATATAAATGTGACAAAATTTATCTTGATTTATAGGAAAAATAGTATAAAAAAAAAGACTGTCGAAATAAAAAAATTATACACAAAGATTGATTTACAAAACTAATTGTCAAAATTCATACTATTATTGTTAAAGCTCATGGTGTCATAAACTCTAATTTGCAATTTTTCTACATCAACAGTCTTTTTCTTTTTTTTTGCCCTTTTCCCTAATTTATATCAGCACTTTTTTAAAAGTGCTGCTGATTTCAAGCACCCCAAGTCACCAAAGCTAGCTTTGTTCCGAAGAAATTTATTACAATTAAAATTACAGATTTAAAGAGAAGAATTCTTCTTTATTTATTTATTTTTTTTGGCAGAATTCTTCTCTTACCAGTCATACAAAAACTTCAATTCTTTAAGATGAGATGAATACCCGGGACAGTGAGCGATGTTCGAACACAAATCTCAGGGTCACTTGAGATTTCGCCATTATTTTGATGTCAAAAAAAGACATTTTGCTATTATTTACAATTAACAATGAATATCATTTCATATCATGAACTGGATAACTAATTTACAAATATTAATTAAAAACTAGGTTAAATAGTTATTAATCCTACACATTTAAATTACCCATTAATAATTGTATCGAAAAAATTACCCATCAATAATGACTTGGATTATTTGAAAACAAATAAATATTAGAGATCAAATAAATTAGATCAACTTAAATCTCCAACTAATTTTTATATTAAATTCAAAAAGACAGTGATGGACCGAGTGGATGGAGAAAATACGCTGTACATACATAACTACAACAATCCTCATTGCAATAGAACGAGTTTGAAAATATTAAAAGTAATAAAAAAAGAAGACAAATGAAAACAGGGCCTCGAATATTCATACAAATGACCAATTTATGAAAGAGAAAGCTAAGCAATGAACACTGTTATCTTCGGCAAGAACTTTCCATGCAAGAGCTTGTTCATACGAAACATGCCGTCCCATCATGGACATGCAAATTCCGGCAGGCAGATAAGCGAAACCCTGTTCCGAGCATAAACAGAAAAAATCAGAGATCAGACCACAAGGCAAAATGCCACGGTGATGGAGAGCATTCATGGAATAACAAGCATTTCAATTGAAGAGAAAGCATTCGGTCTTGAAATCACCTCCTGCATCAACTTAGCAAATTCTGTACACAATGCCTTTCGTCCAGAGTCGTCAAATATTTTATCCAATGATATATCTTGCAAAGCTACTAGAGTTGTTTCCAGCATGTCAAGCCCTGCCTGGTTAGCAAAGATGAACACAGGCACGGACTGCGATGCCACATAAAGACACAAACTTTTGAGCAGCTAGTTTTGATGTGCACAAACCGCATACTTGATAATTCCAATAAAAATTTTGCCACAAACATTAAAAGGATAGACAATACTTCAAAAAAACATACCCTCACTGAACAACACAAAATGGCATCGTGATAATGCCATAAATGTTTCAACAACATATCACCAACAAGAGTCTCCGATCCAAGTAAGTCCGCTGCCATATAGAAACTGCAATTAAAGAGGAAAGAAATGAAAACAGAAACCAGGAAAGGAGAGAGGTTTTAAGAATTATGCAATGCTCCATCAACAGGACTCAATCTCAAGCTGCCAAAAAGAGGATAGCAAGCATTCATTAAAATTTTGGCTTGTGTAACTATAAGTATTAGATAGTAACCAGACTTGCCTATAACTCTGGCAAATCCAGTGAGCCAGAGTAACTGCTTCAGGAGAGCCAGGACTGAGTTTTGGTCCAACAGGTGGGCTTATACCAGATGGAGATATAGCCAACGCAACCCTCTGCACAGATGAAATCACACTGCGTACATACTGTCGTGCCATAATTGCAACATTTTCCTGCAAGCTGCTCTCAAAAGGAAGCTGGAAGGCAATAGTCAACACCGACCGAGTATTATGGCTTGATGATGCATCCTCTGCAGCATGATTTGCTGCTGGGCCAACATCAAGACCAGATGTCAAGTCTAGGGTCCGATTTACAGATACTGCATTCTTCTTATCACCCTGAAATTAAAAAACATCGTTACAGTCCATATAATGACAAAGCAGCGAGTTTAGTCAGCACTCTAGTAACCATATCCACAAACTTAATACATAAGCAATTGCAGATGCTTACCACACAAACCATAATAACTTGGAACAAAATGAAGAGAAACTAGCATATCTTGTGAATATTCGATAATTAGATTAAGCAAAACACAAATAAACAGAACTCAACTGATTTTGAATCCAATGGGATGATACGGAAACCCGATGGCAACAATGGAGCATCATCAGGGAACATTTCATCAATAGAAGCAAATACAAGCTCAGAACATGCCCCAACAGCATTTTCATCAATCCCGCTACATATCTGCAAAAAAAGCAACCATAATACACCGCTCAGTTCCATGGGTAAATTAGGAGACTGCATGATAGTGATCTATTGGTCACAGCATCATCCTTTAAAAGGCAAAAGAATACCAAAAGCCAGCAGAGACACACAATTATATGAAGGCCAAACAGAATTCAAATGGCCCTAAACAAATACTCCCTGTGTCTCTAAATAAAGCTCTCAATTTATCTGGAAACACGCCAGCCAAGAAAACAGAAACCCAAGTGATGCATAAAAATTAGCTTTTCCTTTTCAAATAAGCCCTCAATTAAATGTCTCCTTAGAATGTGCATCCTTTAGTAATTATAATTTAATTCTCTTAAATTCGTTAATTACAATTAACTAGAACTCCGAACTGTGACTTGCATTTAGGGACAAAACAAGTAAAAAAATTGAGACTTGTAAATAAGGACGGAGGGAGCAGTGAGTTGCGATTTTGATCATCTGCAACACACAAGTAAAAGCATCGTTTGGATTAAATGGGTCATTCAAGAAAATAGAAACTCTTTCCCAAAATGACACTACAGCTTATCTGACTTCAAAAACACACAAGGAACAGGAATTTCCAATATTTCAACAAGAGCCATGGACAGCACCTGTAAGAGATGAATGTCCCTTGAAGCAAAAGCATCCTCCTGAGCCAGAGAATGGCCTTCGAGACGAACAACTTCAAGCATCTGGAATGCAAACACGATTAGCAGGAAATATTATTTTAATATGAAAACTTTGTGATATGACCTGGAGAAAAAGGAAATAAGCAACTGCTGACAGCAGGGCAGAGCAAGTGTCATTGCCTGCTCGTCCTGATCAGACAAAGAAACAGACCCAGACTACACTCACAAATGCATCACGAGTCAAGACAATTCCATCCTGCATTTGTAGCTGGGAAGTGAATGCAAAAGTACCTCTTCGTGTTCAATTGTATGGCCAAGAGGCATGATAATTTGACTTCCTGAGAATCTAGTTGACCTCATGCCAGGATAGGCAAACGAGCCCGCTTTAAGTGAAGCAGCAGAATAGGCATCAACATTGAAATCAGCCCACTCAGAGCGATGTTCCCTCAGAAACCTAACCAAAACTGCCGGAGGGACATTCTGGAAAAAACATGTAGCAAAAAGACATTTGAACACTCCAACCCACCATTCATGAATATATCTACAAAATTAATTTGTCAACAGGAATTTTAGCTAAAGCACTTGGCATGGACTAGTTTTATGCAAAGCATAATCTAGCATTGCCTTCCAAAAAAAAAAAGCCCTTCCTATCTTTCATTTTACCGAGAACTGAGTCAAAAAAAAAAAAAAGGAACCATCTATAGGAGATAAGACCCACGCCACTGTTTTTGCAGACTGACCTGAAGTAACATGGAAGCTTTTGCACAGAGAACTCCTCCTAGGAATGTTAGGGAACTTGCGGGATTAGAAGTGGCACTCAGATTCTTGGTTGAGTTGACAGCAATAATCACGTCCTCAGCACCATCACAGTTCATTATGGACCAGCCATCATCATTAAATCCATTGACAGCATCATTGAAGCCTCTGCAAATATAACAGATTGGTTTAGATGTAAATGTGTGATTCAAGGACCTCTCAATGATGATTGCTCCATGGTCAACGTAATTTGAAAGAAACGGAGCTCCGTTTGCCTACCTGCTCAGCCTTTGGCTGAAAGTTCGCAGAACAGCAGGCTGCCTACCTAAACCATAAACAATTTCGCCATTTGTTTCCTGAGCTATTTGCCTAATATAGCGTAGCGCCTATCACAACAAACAATGAATTACATTCATCCTAAGTATGGCCATAGGAAACAGGACCCAGAATGACAAAAGGTGGGTTTAGGAAATCTATAAGCATGACGCTATTGCTAAACATTGCATGCAAAACCAGAAAAACAGAGAGATCAATATCTCTTATTAAAATATTTTCTTTAAAAAACAAAAAATTCT